AGATGTTACATTCAGATTATAAACCCCAAATGTCAGTTCGTATTTATAAGGTGACCTGATTTGTCCTCAGTGCCCTTTATACTGACCCATTGTTATATTGAGCTCTCTAATCAAGATCAGATTTGAAGGTTATAAGGATTAAGTCCCATCCTTCCTTGATTGCCTCTGGGTCAGAAGATTATGGTTTCAATCCCCTCAACAGGAGTTTGAGCTCATAGAGTAGGCTGACATTCGAGTGCAGTATGCAGTAACGGAGGGGCATGGATTGTCAGAGATGCCATCCTTTGGCATCTCTGCATGTTTAGATGGACATTACATACTCCATGACAATGTTCAAAAGGAGAAGGGAATTTCCCTTGATGTCCTGACCAACAACCCTCCAATAAATTGATTACTCACATCATGGCTGTAGATCCTTGCTGCGTTCATGGCTTTGCCCTAAAATGGTTAATATACTTGACAGTAGTTGCCATTTTGGAGATGTTTTAGTGCTATATCAAATGCAAGGATTATAATTACTTATTTATAAGAGGAGATGAAGATTCACTACCCTGAGAAACACAATCATTAATGTGCCACTGGGGCAATGGAAGTACTTTCTGTAATGTATAGCCATATAAAAAAAACAACAATGTAAATTGTGATGTTAGAATATATCCTGGGATTTTTCCTTAATTACATTTTGGGGTCAGAAATAAATTTCTAGTAGTTTAGTTTCTTGAAATTTGTCTCCTTCATTCAGTAAATTATATAGTATACAGTCTGTTGGGAAGGATATCGGATGGGTTGAGTAGCCTTTGCTTGTTCTATACATCATCCTCTACAAGTAAAGTTGCTCCAGTGATAATTTACGATGATATTTGCAAAAGCAAGAGAAGGATCTGTAGGGATTGTTCGATACAGTATTACATTTATCTGACCTTATTGAAATTGCAAAGGCTGAATAAAAGCAAGGGAGTATTTGATCTCGGACCTGTTGCAAGTGAAAGCCATTAAATTTCCTTCTTTACTATCATTCTACTGAGCTAACTTTTTTTCTGTTTTCTTCTTTCATTCCACTCGTTTTTGCATTGCAAACAACAACAGTGAAATCACTTTGCTTTCTCTTCAGTTTCTACCTTGTATGTTACTTGTTTATTTCCACTATATTTACAAATGATTCTCTTCTCTTTTCGAATGGTGCCCTGAGAGACATGGGATCTTTAATGTCCACCCAAAAAAGATAGATGGGTCTTAGTTTAACGTCTCATCCGAAGGATGCACCTCCAACCTTGCAACACACCCCTGGAGTGTCAGCTTAGACTACATGAGTTCAAATCCTGACGTGAACCCACAATCTCCTGACTCAGAGGCGAGTGCTAACAACTGAGCCAGGCTGACACATTAGTTGCAAACAAACTGCAATTGTTGCAGGAGAAATAGTTAAAACTGGCACTCAGTTATTTTAGGATTAAAGACTGGATCACAATACAGTCTGAACCCACACGAACAGTATTATATAGTAAACCTCACATAAGTTGTATCAGTTGGGACCATACATTTAATATGACTTGTGCAAAGTATGGGTTATGTGAAACCTACACAAGCTATAGGAAATTCAACGGGACTTGGGCAGATGTACGAATTAGGTGATTATACCATTTATACAGATCAGACTTATGCAAGTTTTACTGTATACACAATACTTTACAGAAACCACTGTACTGTACTGTATACAGAGTACTCCCCAAAGGCATTGCAGCTTCAAAGGCTTGTTTCCTAAGTGAAACATGGGATTCGCTGAAACTGAAGTTGAACGTGCAAGGTGATATTTAGCTCGGGTACAATAGCTGATTGAATTGAATATTATCTTATTCTCATGAAACCTCTGATTAAGCATTAGTTTCATTAGGCAAATGGGCACCACCATAGAAACATAGAAACAGGAGTCTTCCATTCAACCCCTCGAGCCTGTATTGCCATTCTATAAGATCATGGCTGATCTGTACCTCCAATTCCAATTACCCACCCTTGCCCTGTATTCCTTCATACCCTGACCTAACAAACACCAGTTCCCATTATCAAGCCGGTGAAACAATGTACTTAAAATAATAATATATTTATTTAACAAGAAATAATGTATTTCTCTCAGTCTGAGAAATATGAGGTTTTTTTTCAAACATTGATAAAAGGGAGTTGCAAATTTGTTCTTTTTGTGTGAGGACGGATCGAGAACAGAAAGAAGTAACTACAGTTGTTTTAGAACCAAAGAAGTAACTACAGTTGTTTTAGAAATGAAATGAATTACTCACAACTCTACGTAGGCAAGTTGCCTCACCAACTGATCCGAGGAAATGGAGATCAATCAACTAGATTCTTAACAACAACAACAACAACAAGATTCCAGGGGCTGAGAGACTGAAGGCCCGGCCACCGATGGTAGGGCGGTTGGGGCGGGGGATGTGGAGCAGACCGGAGCTGGAGGAACGGAGGGTACGGGCAGGTAGGTAGGGGGATAGTAGGTCGGAGAGGTAGGAGGGAGCAAGGCCGTGGATGGCCTTATAGGTGAGGATGAGGATCTTGAAATCAATCCTCTGGGGGATGGGGAGCCAGTGGAGGCGAGCGAGGGTGGGAGTGATGTGGTCCCGAAGCCTGGTGCGGGACAGTACACGAGCTGCAGAGTTCTGCATGACCTTAAGACTACACCAAGTGTTCAGTCTGTGCATAATTATGCCAGGAATTCAATACACAGCACTCTCTATTAAAGAACTTGTTGATCTCAGCAGTCAGCATGTACAATTGGTATTACATATTCTGGGTTAAGAAGAGAAACAGCCAGATTTCCTGCTTATGATCACTGTCCATGGCCCCTCCTCGAAGACAGATATTGAGTGAGGATACGACTAGGCTCAGCTCTGAGGCTCCCACCATTCAAACAGAATACTAACATTCATTGCCAAAGCTCACACATTAATAATTTGGGAGAGGCGCAAGTGGGTGCCTGCCTGGTGATGATCCAGTGTGAGGAAGAATGAATCAAATACCTTTAGAAATATAGAGAGAAAGAAAGAGAGCCTTTCCATGTCAATCACACTTCCTTTGTCACATATCTTAGTCTCAACCTTAGAAGAGCACAACCTCACTGTGTTTCCTCAATAGCCACGAAATAAGAAAAATATATTTGTTTTGGGCTGAATCCTAATCTTCCAGGACTCAGACTTAAAAGAATGTGTTCAAACCTGTAGAACCACCTTACATTCCTTCCTTGCTTTTGATCACTGTAACAAGCAAACATCTGAGACTTTAGGTGAAGTGGATCTCAGTGGTGTGCATTTTTTTTGGTTATTTCACAGGGATAAGGTTGATTACAAGACTTGTAATCGGCTCACCCTAAGGACAATGGGAATTGATCTAAGAAATTGATGATCTACCACTGAAGAACATCCAACAAGGTGTAAGTAATTTGTGATATGAGTATATGTTGGATAAAAGAATATTTTCTATCACAGTAATTGCTTTTAATACGCTGTAAAATGAAGGGGGGTGCGGGGATGTGGTAGTTGAACATGGGTAGGATTAAGTTGTTCGATTTCTGAAACCAATATGTCTGAGTTTTTAAAATATATTTTATTTTACTTTTAAAGTGGATATTTAAAACAAATATATATTTCAGGAGCCTCTCACTATGTTACAACCTAATAATATTAATAAAAATCCTTGCTTTTGATATTGCACTTTTGATGTTGGGAAGACATCTCAAAGCACTCCACTGTAAAATGTGGTCACTGTGTGTTTTGTAGGCGAAGATCTTTCAAACTAAATCACTCAATCCACAACGGTTTGTGGGACACTGCTGTGTGTAATTGGCTACTGCATTCTGCCACAAAATATACAGTCCATTCATTTTACAGTATATTCTGTGAAGTGCTTTGAGAGTTCTCAATGCCCTGAATCAAATGTAAGGATTATTATTAAGGATAAGGATTAATTGTCTATTTTTCAAATAATCTGCTACACTGCCCTATATGGTGAATAAAATATTGCCTTGTGCATTTAGACTAGAATGTATGCTTTTCCTTTGGCCAATAATCATAATACTTCTTGCAATTGGTATAGCGCCTTATCATGTCGCCGAGATGTCTTAAAGAGCTTCAAAATAGACAAAGAATTTACCCATACATTTCAGTTAAATGCTTAATTAGTGACGTCCGGTTTGTGCCTGAGGAAATGGGATTGGCTTCAAAAGTTGGCAAAAATATTTGGGAAAAACTGGATTCCCAAAGGTTGTCGTGAATTTCTTTACGGACCTGTGGTCAGACTTTTGAGGCTTTTTCTCAGGTGATAAACAGCTTGAAAATAAGATGACAATTCCGTGATTCTCACCGGCAAAACACCAGAGAGCCATATTGAACCACAGCCCCATCATTGCCCCCTTTCAACTCACCCTGAATTTTGAAGACGAATCTGCATGAAGTGCACTGCTGCAGCCTGATGAATCAATTATTCCCATGAGTTAGAAAACTCGCCTCGCAAGCACGAAGCCCCTGGTTTGACGCCCGGCAGGACGAAAGGTTAGGCAAGTTTCCTTACTCCACACACCTGCTTACCTAGCAATAAGTAGGAACATGGTTGTTAGTTGTTTGGCTGATCACGTTTCCGGGGTTAATAATTCCTTTAAAAAATAATAATAATTTGGTCACTCAGGCCATGACTGTTTGTGGGACACTGCTGTGCGCAATTGGCTGCTACATGTCGCCCACAAAATATATAGTCCATTCACTTTACAGTGTATATTCTGTGAAGCGCTTTGGGATGTCTTGAAGACTTCATGAGGCGCTATATCAAATGCAAGGATTATTATGTCACTGCCACGTTTTAAATATTGTTCTGTTTTCTGCAGCTCCTTTTACCTGGCTGTGCCTGACTCCGTTATGCTAGTGCAGGACCCTTGTGACACAGAACAAACACAGCACCCTCCGATGACACCACCACCACTCCAGCGAAAAGGTCAAGACACCCACAAAATATTGAGCTAGGCCCTCAGGTGCGATTGTAGGAAAATAAAACTTTATATCTGGGTGAATGCTTAGACTTTAGTCCCATTGGGAGAATTCCCTTTACAGTATTAGTGCCAATGGGTTTGATGGTAATAAAGTATATGACATTGGGAATGTCAGGTTCAACCACTGGTACTTGTTTAGTAACAAACAGCGCATTGAGTTTGAGAGCAGCGCTATTCTGTTGGGACGACAGAAACACAGTATTGGGAGAAAGTGAATTAGGCCCAGTTATAAAGGATGTTAAGTTTATCCTGGACCTAATGTCTGACAGGCAGTCCAGCAAAGGCAACAGCCTTGGGGTTGAGGGTATAGTCAGGGAGGTACATCTGGGTGTCATCAGCATAGATGGGGAAGTTGACCCCATGTCTGTGGGTGGTGTCACCTTAGGGAAACATGTAGATAAAGAACAGGGGAGAACCAGTACTACGGTACTGTTGCTGTTGTATTATTTGTGAGATTTTGTGTGTGTGTGTGTGTGTGTGTGTGCATAAGAAAGAATTTGCACTTTTACAGCACCTTAGGAGAAGGCAAATCTATACGTGCAGACGCCATTTGTGTTTTTGTGTAGGCACAGAGAGAGTGTAATGGTTAAAATTGTAATGAGCCAACTGTATCATCGGAAAGTTGCTTTCTCTGAACAACCAGCTACAAAATACAGTCAGTACACTTTACAGTCAACCTTATGAAGCACATTTAGATGTCCTCCTGACTTGAAAAGCACTGCATCAAATATCAGTAAAATACTAAGCAATTTCTTTCTTTTCAAAAGCATGTTCCTCTTGTCTGTAGAAAAGCAACTTTATAGAACTATTAATTATTTTTCCTTTCATTTCCCATTTTCTTTCTCAGTGTGTAGGTGTGGTTGGCTTCCTGATTCAGAGACAAACAAACAGGTTTTAACCAGATTTGTCCAGGCATGTCTTATTCACAGGAGAAGCAAATTGAACACTTGCTCCAGGATTGCCTGGAGGAGGAGGAAGAGGATGATGTTGATTTGAAGATCTGTCGTGTGTGTATGGACAAGGCCACTGGCTACCACTTTAATGTCATGACTTGCGAAGGTTGTAAAGGGTTTTTCAGGTACAGAGTGACATTATGTGTTTGTTTCCATCCCCTTCACGCATTCTTCACATAACACTCCTACCTCCACAGTACTGCACACACTGAACAGCCTCACTCCTCCGTATTACAGCCAGGACCACCACCCAATAACCTACACACACTGAACCACCACCTCAATAACACTACATACACTGAACAGCAAATGCTACCTGACATGCACGCACAAGCTTACCTGTCTAAAAATAATCCTCTTCAGTTCTTATCCATAATTGCTCTCCATCCCCTTACTCACTATAACTAGCATGTCTTTCTGTTCCCTGGGCCCTCACCTCACAACCGCTAGCTTTTTTGATTGTTCTTGAACTGACAGAGCTTATTGTACAGAGTGCTGTATACAATTCTTGTCACTATGACATAAGGGGCCCAGGTGCGGAGAGGATCTTACCTCACACTTAGTCGTTCACTTTTATTTTCTCCAGACGTGCTGTGAAAAGTAACATCCGGTATAGCTGCCCCTTCCAAAACTCCTGCGTGATCACCAAAAACAGCCGTCGGCAATGCCAGGCTTGCCGGCTCAAGAGGTGTCTGGAAATTGGGATGAACAAGGAAAGTAAGTGTTAAAACCCATCACATGGGGAGAGCAGCATAAGTTACAAGCTCGGCACACTGCCCTCCAATGCAAACCATAATAATAAAATATAATAAGCTGCATTTTGTGGGCGAAACGCAGCAGCCAATTGCACACAACAGTGTCCCACAAACAGCCGTGGATTGAGTGACCAAATTATTATGATTTAAAACAATTTTTTGAAGGGATTATTACCCCCATAAAAGCGATCTGGCAATCGACTAACAGTCCAGTTACTACTTACTGCAAGGTAAACAGGAGCGTGTGGAGTAAGGAAACTTGACTAAGTTTGAAACTTAACTAACCGTAGAGAGTGTCTACAGTGGTCAGGTTGCTCCCATTCTGTAGCCTGTGCTTTTTCAGTCAGGTGGATGTCGTCTCAAGGCGTAATGTCACATCAGTTAGATTGAGTTGCACCAGATCATTATGAAAAGATTGTTATGGAAGTTGTGTCTCAAGAATTCGTGGATGCCCTTCTCCCCCCACCACCAAAGAAGAATTTTCCAGCATTAGTCTGGTGGCCAGTTTTGAAGGACTATATTTTTTCTGACTTGCTGATGCTTTATAACTGCAATAATTTTGGAGTGTGGGTGGAGGTGGTGGAGGTGTTTAGTATCATCATGGAAAGATGCAAAATCCTTTTAAAGCAAAGTAAATATACCTCTTTGGTGGTTGCTGTTGCTGTGAATCCAGATCTGATTTAATTGGTTTGTAGTTCATCAGTGATGTGATGTGTGGTTGCCTGGGAGAGACTTGCTGTGTAGTCTGTGAATTTCTGCAGTGTGGGAGTGAAGGGACCACTCATTTCTTCCAATTTCCTTTCTCTCTCAGCCAATTTCTCTCCTTCACTTATTCTCTGTCCCATTTTCTTCTGACTGGCTCCCTTTTATGCTTCTGCTGGGGGCATTGATTCAGGGCACCTTCTTCCTGCATCTCTCCCAAGCACCTGTAACAGTGAGTTTTGCCAGGGTGTTTGACGACAGAGGGCATCGATTGTAACCCAATTGGGTTCCGGGTTGTGGACCCCGATTTTCTTACCTGAAAATCAAAATCGCAATATCCAACTCCAATCTTCATTAAAAAATGGCTGACTTCTGGGCTAATGCTGATGTTACTTCCTATGCATTGCACATCAGTGTTATAGCAGGCGATGCTGCTAACAAAAATGCCTGCTTGCTGTGCTACACAAAGGAAGTGTTGTCAGTGGCGACCTGATGACCCAGAAGTTGATCATTTTATTATACCTCTTTATAATGCTGGGATTATATAGGGATTGCCCTGTAGTTTGTGTAAGAAACGTATAACAATGGTTTGTGTGAGCTTCTTTCGTGCCACCCTCTGCAGCCTACAATTCCAATCATTTATATAACACTTTTTACTCGGGGAGGATGTCCCAAAGAGCTTAAAAATACTGGCTGGTCACCAGCCACTATACATCACAGTATAGCCTGTGAAGCTCTTTGAGATGTCTTGATGATGTGATAATGCACTGTATCAAATGCAAGGATTATTATTATAAATAATATTAATAATCAGATCAATGTCATCCAAATCTTTCCTCATGAATCACAATTTAATCTCCATTTCTTTTCCCGCTGTGCCGTTCTTACCCTGTGTTGCTCTCAGTGATCATGTCCGATAAAGCGGTGGAGGAGAGACGAACGTTAATAAAAAAGAACAAGACTCTGAAAATGACACCTAGCATTCCAGAGGAGCCGGATCTGACAAAGGAGCAGGAGAAGCTACTGGAAGATCTCCTGGAAGCACATCGCAAAACTTTTGATGCTTCGTTCACTCATTTCACACAGTTCAGGGTAGGAATGCCACAGGTCGACCTGAAGAGTAAATCATTCACATTATACACAATGTCACTGTGTTGCCGGACATACAGAGGGATAGCAACAAATTACTTTCGAGTACCTGATCCGCTTTTTGCAGCCCACAAAGAAAATAGATCATGGGCTCCAAAATAATAATAATAGCCAATTGCGCACAGCAGTGTCCCACAAACACTCGTAAAATGCCTCTCGTCATTCAGATGCATCTCATTACAGGCCTACTATTTATTTGGCTTTGCCAGGCCTTGCCATTGTGCCAGGCAGAACGTGCCCTGTCATCTGCTCCTTCCAGCAATTCCACTGAGAATTAGCAAAACAAGGCAGGTTTAGATGCCAATATCGGTCGATATTCGAACCCTCGAGACCCGTTCTGTTTGGAAATCTGAGTGCAGAATTGCCAGGCCAGAAGAGAGCAAGTTTGGCATTTTTTTTTCATGCTTTAAGGGGTGTAACATTAATTTCTATGTGTAGGTGGGATGCATGGAATTCTCTCTTTGGTTTGGATACTCTCAAGCATGGTGATGGGGTTCCACATGGTTTCCCAAACACACTAATCCAAAAGTGTATACCAAACACTAAGGCAAGGCTCGTTGCATTTTTTGTCACAATATGTGGTTGCGTCACTATACACAGTATGCATTAGTATACAAAGTACACATCAGTATACACAGAGCAGCACCCTCAGCTCTGCTGTGTATGCTGCTAGGATCTCTTGGCAGGAAGTCTATGATGTGTGTTTGTTTCACAGCCAGTAGTACGGACTACAGAGAGACAAAGCATCCTGAGTGATACGTCTCATGGTGTGATCCGGGGGGAAGCAGCATTGACTGAGAGAGTGAAACCTTATCCAGTTAAAATCAGCTTGGAGAAGGACTACAAGCTCCAGCGTAACTTCTCCATGCTCCCTCATATTGCAGATTTAGCAACATACATGATACAAGGGACGATCAATTTCGCTAAAGCAATCCCTTTTTTTCGGTGAGTATTCCAGCCTTCACTGTTATCCCACTCAGCTCCTGTATACCATGCAAGCCAAAGTCCTAACTGGTAGGGTGGTCCTAGCTGGAAAAGCAGCAGGATGCTTCCTTCACTCCATTTAGGAATAACTCACTTTTATCTTGTAAATAGGAATTATTGTAGTGAATGCACAGCTCAGTTGGAATTCAAGGGATTGTGTACTCAGTGGTTAGAGCACTCACTTCGCAAGTGAGAGACCTGGGTTCTATTCCCAGCAGGGCAAAATGTTGGGCAAGTTTCCTTACTCCACATGGCTCTGTTTACCTTGTTAGTCGATTGGTGGATCGCTTTTGCTTCAAAAATAATATAATAATAATTTTTTTCACTCAATCCACGACTAATTGTGAGATACTGCTGTGTGCTGCTGTGTTTCACCCACAAAATATACAATCAATTCACTTTACAGTATATTCTGTGAAGTGCTTTGAGATGTTTCAAAGACCTGATAAGGCGCTATATCAAATGCAAGAATTATTATTATTATTATGTTGGTTGAACATATGATCCTCGAGGTAGAGGGTCAGTGTCTTGGAGGAAGGGGTGGGGTTAAATTCAATTTCTCCAAAATATGGTGTTATGGTGTAGTCGTTAAGGCATATAATTAATTGGATTTTCTGTCCATATCATGCTCAGCACCTGTGACTAACCATCATATACCATATACCACATCTTCTCCACACCTTGCCTGTGGGCCAGCCCAGTCCCATGAGAAAAGTTCTCCTCCACACAGTTTTGCTAACGGGCAACGGAAACATTAATCTTTAGGGTAAATAATAATAATTCAGTTGATGATTAGCTTGCACCACTCAAACAAGGCAAAGCTTTTCCACTAACGTACGCACAGCTCTGTTCTCAGCTCCTTCTCGGTGGTGGATTGTGAGCATCACGTCATTGCAGCATGTCCAGCCTTGCTGCATGCTGCTGTGCAGTTCTGCCAGAGGGTTAATACTCCTTATCAAAGGAGGTGTAAAATACTTAGTAAAGTAATAATAATTATCTTTGCATCTGATATAGTGCCTTTCGTGGTGGGAGGATGTCTCAAAGCGCTAAGCTTTGAGCGCGACTGTGTAATCTGTAAGCAAACATAAATTGCTTGTCTGGCTGGTGTTCTGATAAAGGCGTGGCCTGATCTTTGTTTGCATGAATCTAATTTCATCTACCCCTGTTTGATGCAGTTTTGGTTACAAACACCTACTTTGCTTGCAAATGGTGTTAGATTTATTTCAGGGTGTGCAGTAAGTGCACACTTACAGAGAGACAAAGCATCCTGAGTGATACGTCTCATGGTGTGATCCGGGGGGAAGCAGCATTGACTTGTTTGCAAGTTTGCAAATATTTTACCATTCTCACAGCTTCGCCCTCTTCGCCTCTCGAATGAATTCTTAATGCAAATGTACGTGTACGTGTGTATATATATATGCACTTACCCAACACATGAATGTACACACACACAGCAACCACACACATTGTTTCACATTAGACACATACTGAAAGCATTTGCCTGCACCCACCCACCTCTTTCCTTGTATGTTTGCATGCATACTGATTGATAACAACAACAACAAAATTACATTTGTATGGCGCCTTTCACGTCAGGAGGACATCCCCAGCCGCTGGACAGTGAATGTTTCGGACACGATCGGGGAGGGTGCAGGGCAGTGGGGAAAGGAGGGTGTTCAAAGGTACGGTCGAAGAGGAGGGTCTGGAAGCAATTATAGCTCATCATTGGGAGACTCACAATACACATACAATCTGCATGTCTGGCTAACTGAAAATGCAATTGCAAGGAAACCAAAAGTCATTACTTGCTTCTAACCTGGTGAATCCCTCTCTATATCAATAAGCATAAACTGCAAATTCCTTTTTCCGAGAGGGATGAACACATTACTGAACCTAATCCAGAATGGGCCTGTTCCTGAAGCCTGTAATCACAGACACTCAAATCAAGTCGTGGCTAGCCAACGTTGGCTCTGTTGCAGTAATATTTGTTGCTCTTATTCATTCAGTTTTAATTTGACTTTATGTGGAGGTGGAGAGGGGGGGCGGGAAGAGATAAAGCTGCAAATAATGACAAGTTTTTGTTTTGTTTTTGTAGGGATCTATCAGTGGAAGACCAGATCTCGCTGTTGAAGGGAGCAACGTTTGAAATTTGTCAGATTCGATTCAATACAGTGTTTAACGTAGACACCAGCATCTGGGAATGTGGGCAGCTGAAGTACAGCATAGAGGACGCCACACAGTGTAAGTAATGCTAACAGCTGGGAGGATCTTTTATTTATTTAATGAAAGGGCTATCAAACTGTCATAAAGACAACGGTGCAAAAAACTCCACATTTCTCCTCCATGGTGCTGCCCAATGGGAACTGCCAATCTCCCCCTGACTCAGGCACCAAATGGAAATGCAGTGCTTTCACCTGGGGAAGGGCAAGTCAAACAAGTGCAACCCTCCACCTCTCGCTGTGGCCACTTCAACTGCATTGCCAGAGGTCTTGAAATAGGCGAGCGACTACCCTTCTCAGTCACAGTGGTGTGCGACAGGAGATTCTGCAGAATAACCTTACACAACATCTATAATCACTGGGACTGAATTTATGTTGCTCCCATTAAATCTATGCTGTTAATCACTGGATCCAGGTCATACGTGTGTGTGTGAGAGAGAGATTGGGAAAAGGGACCATATTAAACACAATGGGCAAGACATTATTAGTTTATACTTCTATTTTATACCATAAAGTAAATTGTACCACTTATAGGATGCAGGAGTTAATCAACGGATGGAATAGATTACTAAAAATGGTGTTTTTTGCTGTTAAGAAAACAGTTTAATCCTTTAAAGGGAAACTACAGGATTAATATTCTGGAAGGATGAGATCGAATAATAACAATAAGCCTTGCGTTTGATACAGCGTCTTATCACGCCTTCGAGACAACTCAAAGCACTTCACAGAATATACTGTAAAATTAATTGACTGTATATTCTGTGGGCAAGATGCAGCAGCCAATTGCACACAGCAGTGTCCCACAAACAGTTGTGGATTGAGTGACCAATAATAATAATTATTATTTTTTTAAAAAAATTGGAAAGCAATCTGCCAATTGACTAACAACCAGGTTCCTACTTACTGCTAGGTAAACAGAGGCGTGTGGAGTAAGGAAACTTGCCTAACGTTTTGCTCCACCCAGGAATCAAAACCGGATCTTCTCGCTTGAAAGGCGTAACCACTCTATGCTAACAATGCTAGAATCAAACCCAGGTCCTCTTGTTTGCGAGGCGAGTGCTCTAACCACTAAGCTACAGGACTCTGTATAAATATGCTGAAGGACCTTCTGCATCAGAGACTCTCTTGCCATCTTGGAAGGTGAACCACTGCTGGAAGCAGCATTTAAGGATTAATCGAACCTGTGTATAAAACACGGAACATTTGGAGGAACCATTTGAGATCCATTGAAAGGCACCTCGGGAACTTGTGCTATTGGCAAACAAGGGGTTTAAAGCTTCACAACGCTCATTGCTCAGAGGACATGAGAGGAGGCTTTTAATAAAGTCTTCCATTCTCACTTCACAATGTAGTTTAATCCAGCACACTTCAGATTAGACATGGTCAACATTCATCCACTTGTGCTTTTAACATGCAAATAGCTATCAGTTTACAAATCCCTTAACAAGGATTCTGTCACTGCATTGGGAGAACTTTCATTCAGGAAACAAATCAGCAGTGGCCTTTCATTGAGACCCAGTTCTAAATGTTGCCACGGCGGCCTTCCAAGGTTGCATTTGTGCAGCGCAATCCTTTACAATACAGTACAATACAATTTACGCTTGTTTGTAGCTCGTGGTGTTCTGATGAGGCGTAGCACACGCTGATCAGTAACATTAGTAAGCAATCTTTTCACTGTGTAAACCTCAATACAAACAATTAATGAAAAGATTGCTGTTCGGGGTGATCCCTGGCCAACAATCCCCCCAGTAAAATTGGTTAATCACTCCAGGACTCTTTGTGGGACATTGCTGTCTGTAAATTGGCTGCAGCGTTTGCACACAAAATATTCAAAACCACTTTACAGTATAGTCCACTAGCTCCCTGTCTCCCAGCAGAATGACTTGAAGATCCTTGCTCTATATGGTTTGGGTTCCCAACAGACGATCACTAAAGTGCTGTCAAAGCCCTGAATTACGTTGCCATCTAACTGCCAGCAGAAGTACTGCTAACAACTGAAAAGCAGTCAGTCAGTCAGTCACTTAAACACTGGTTACAAACAACTATCAAACAAAAAATACATTTGAATCGCACCTTTCACGTCGGGAGGACAAGAGTGAACCAGGAAGGAGAGAACAATTTCAGCCCGGGAAAACATTTTCTTTTCCTTCCTCTCTCAGTCCAGTGATTTTCTCGGAATGAATTTTGTAGTATTTTTTAGCTCCCCCCAGTCAGCCAGGTGTCTGACGTGTGTGGAAACCCATCATCGTGCTAAGAGTGTCCAAGGTGATGGGTTTCCGTTTATGTCAGACATCCGCCTGTCCAAAACTAACATTTTTTTTCCAGAAATTTCAGAAAAGATTCACTTTATTTCCTCAAGGACAATGAGCGGTATACACACACATTTCCCCTCCCTAGAATGAAGGGCCCCAGATACCCTTCCCTTCCCATGTTCAATCACAAAATACACACACTACACTGTACAGTATATTCTGTGAAACTCTTTGAGTTGTCTCGATGACAAGGATTATTATAAGGAACGCAGACTGGTATATATCACAAAGGGCATTTTTCAGAGCAATCTCTTGTCAATAGGAACCAATTTTGTTTCGCCCACAAAATATACAGTCACCATACTTTACAGTATATTGAGTGAAGCGTTTTGAGACGTCTCAAAGACATGATAAGGCCCTATATCAAATGTAAGGATTATTATATTACCATTAGAATTGAGAGAAGCAACCAATTTATGCCTGAAATTTGCTCTTACCCAACGATCAACTATTATTGGACCTGGTCTGATGGGGGTGGGTGGGGGGGGGGGGGGTGGGTGACAGCCCGTCTGCAGTTAATAGGATTTTTCTCCTCCTCACCCACAGCTGGATTTCAGCAGTTGCTGTTGGAGCCATTGCTGAACTTTCACTGCACCCTGAGAAGCCTGAAATTGACGGACAAAGAGTATGTTCTAATGCAGGCTATCTCACTCTTTTCACCAGGTCAGTTATCGGGATATTAACTTTGATCCATCTACAACAAACTAATTTTAAAAAAAACTTTGTTACCTTTCCTTATCACAGATTCTAAAGAGTTGAGTGCCATTTGAGCCCAAACTTTTTTAAACATGCGTAAAGGTTCGTTTTGTGCAAAGGTGGACAAATGAACTTTAGTTGGATAATTAAAAGTTGGGCAGATTCAACATGAAGGTTCATTCACATTCAAAACAAAGCAAATTAATTGTATTTTCTGCATAACGTATAGGTAAGAAAGTAGGTCAAATTGTAGGGTGATATTTGCAGTGTTTATGTATGATATTTATCGCAAGGAACTTTGTGGACTCCCATAATGTAGTGCTTGGCACCCTCGACTTGCAAAACAAGAGGACCCGGGTTTGATTTCCCCGTGGGGCAAAACCTTAAGCAAATTTCCTTATTCCATATGCCTCTGTTTACCTAGCAGTAAGTAGGAATCCAGTTGTTAGTCGATTGGCAGATCGCTTTCCGGGATCATAATCCCTCCAAAAAATAAAAAATAATAATTTGATCACTCAATTCCCGACTGTTTGTGGACACTGCTGTGCACAATTGGTTGCCACGTTTCGCCACAAAATACACTATCGTTCATTTTACAATATATTCTGTGAAACCCGTTGAGACGCCTCAATAACTTGATGAAAACAACAACAAAATTACATTTGTATTCACATTAGGAGGATATCCCAAAGCACTGGACAATCAGCGTTTCAGACTCGAGCTGGGGGTTGGGATCAGGGAGGGTGGAGAGCAGGGGGTGTTGGAGGGTGACCAAAGGCACGGTCAAAGAGGAGGGTCTTGAGACAGGTCTTGAAGAAGGATAGGGAGGGGGCGAGGCAGAGGGACTGCAGGTTGGAATTCCAAAGGATGGGGGCAGAGTGGCAGAACGCTCGCCCGCCAATCGTGGGACAGGCGAGGCGGGGAACGTGAAGCAGGCCTGAGCTCACTGAGCGGAGTAAGCGGGCAGGTTGGTAGGGGGCTAGAAGGTCGCTGAGGTAGGAGGGAAGAAGGCCAGGAGGGCTTTGAAGGTGAGGACCAGGATCTTGAACTGTATCCTCTATGTGATGGGAAGACAGTGGAGTCGGGTGAGGATGGGGATGATAGGGTCACGGAGCCTGGTGCGGGAGAGGACATGGGCTGCAGAGTTCTGGATGATCTCAGCCTATGGAGGGAGGAGTTGGGGAGGCCGACAAGCAGGGAGTTTGTGTAGTCACCGCCTGGATGTTATGAATGTGTGTATGAGGGTCTCGGCGGCCTGTGGTGTGAGACAGTGGCTGAGCCGGACGATGTTGTGGAGGTGGGGGAAGGCAGAGCGGGAAATGGCACAGATGTGGAGTAGAAAGGAAAGTTGAGGGTCAAACAAGATGCCAAGGTTCTGGACTGGCTTAATAAGGTGGAGTGTTTATCCTTGGATGGTGATGCTGTCAGGACCTGAGGTGTGGAGGCGCTGATGGGAGCTAATCAGGAGGGCCTCAGTCTTGTTGACGTTCTACTGTAGAAAGTTAGCTCCCATCCAGGACTTGATGTCTGAGATAAGGTGCTATATCAAATGCTAGGATTATTATCAAAGAACACAAGAAGAAATGCCACAAACCTCTCCTCATCCCAGTGTGAGAAACTCTGGCCAACGCACCTTGAAGTCCATTGCAATGTGTCAGTGTTTGATTGTGGGAGGACGTTGGAACAATATCTGCCTTCTTTCAGATCGTGCTGATAATTCAAACAACAAGGCCATTGAACTAATTCAAGAGAAAGTCGCTATGACACTGAAAGCAATTATTGACACCAAAAAGACTAAAACAGACAAGTAAGTATGTTGGGAATAATATTTTTGTTGGCTATTTACTGTGGTTTCCCAATGGAAACAAGCTCATGGTCCAAAATTCTTCTCAGGTTTGGTAATAATTACTGCATTTGCAGACAGAGTAGGGAAACACTAAGTTTGGGAAACGGTGAGAACTTAAATTGTTGGGCAATGGAAATGGGAGGTGAGAAGAGAGTGCTGTATTACATCACACTATATAGAGAAATAATGTGCATTTATCTTTCAGATTTCTGTTTCCAAAGATAATGTTAATATTAACAGAGCTGCGGACCTTGAGCGCAGAGAACAACAGGCAGATCCTGGAGATTCAGAACATTCAGCCTGATGTCACGCCCCTGATGTTGGAAATGTTTGGGGAGATTGGGTAGTGGTGCCATCATCAGGGCAGGAGGAAAGACTGTGTGGCATGAAAACTACCATGTGGACATCAAGTTACAATCAATATTTTTCAGAAACCCAGGCACTAACCAGATAGAGTCAAAGATGGGTGCAGACCATCATCTTCTCAGAAGCCGATCAGAAAGGTAGATTATGAACCCAGAAACCTGACTCAGAGACGAGACACTGAGTCAAGATGAGACACCTTTTGCTTGATCAAAGGAAGACAGAAGAAACAACCATTGTCATCTCCAATTGAAACTCCGGTGAATGGTCTCCAAGCCCCAGGTTACACTCTAGAGCAATTGACATCAATTCTTAACAATGTCCTTCCTGCCTTTGTTGTGTGTGGGTGTCCTTTACACTTCTGCTTTGTGTCGGGGAGTTTTGTAAAGAGGGGAGCAGGCAGAGGATAGAGAAGGGTAGAGAGGAGTCTACTGCTTGGGGAGTCTACTCTGGAAACTGGGAAGAGACTTGGCACCTTTTGAACTCCAGAGGTGAGAAGAGCCACTGGTAATAGTTATTATCTTCCTGAAAGCACATTTATTGAATACGCACTGTAATAACTTGTCATCCGTGTGAATATAAGTATCTGCGGATCCTGTTAATTAAAATTCCACGGGAAACCATTGACCAATTCAGTTTCCGTTATCAAGACAGCCTCTGAATTAGTCTGGAACTGTGACTTCTTTTTAAGATACTCAAGTCATGTATCGTTAATATTGTCTGCACAGGTCCCAGAGCTGAGCAAAAATCAGGTAGAACTCGTCTACACCCATCTGACTGAGTTTGTGACAACAGATTGGTTGCACTGAATAGCTTTCTCTCTTACGTGGTTGAATTTTTTTTAAGGCTTGGCAACTGGAAATGGCACTTGCCAAAAACATTTTAAATAAGGATTATTATTATTATATATATATAAACATAAATGTCATTGAGCTATTCTGCTTGACAGTGGCATTTTGCCAGGAGTAAGAGATAGAACTGGATAATGTCCAGCACTAATTTTGTATCTTTTGTCTCAATCAATAAAAAATTCTGAGTACTTCTGAAGAAAATATCAGTGAGCTGACTGTCATAATATGTAGAAAGTGCATTTTGTAGAAATTGTAAGTTTTTTTTAAAGTAATGAAAAAGTATTTATTTATTCCCTGTGAAACCAACATGGTTCCTGTTCACTTTTTAAATGACCCTTTATCACATTGAAGTCTCATGTTTTCCCATGCTGGTGAGGATTGCCCTCACATGTTTTTAATCTCTTTTGTACCATAGTGCATGCACATATCACATCTAAACACATGTTCTCATCATGGACATTTGCTTCTTGTCTGCCTCTTTTCTACTCCACAACACAAAACAAGGTTACAACGTGTTAGTTACTTTTAGATTGATAAGTTTTTTTTAAATAAGTGTCTTGGAATGTTGTGGTTTATCTTCAAGCTACCGTAAATCATTCAAACCAAAAAATATGCTGCTCATTCTTTGATTGTGACCATATTGGTCTTAGGAGATGAAACAGATTGAATGAGCTCTCATTTTAAATGTTGGTACCAAATTGGATGGCCAGTTTCTATGAAAATAAGACACTACAGGTTGATATTGTCCGCTTCCTCCCATCCCACTCTCCCCACCCCGCCCCCCACCAAAAGAAAATCTTTTGTGTCACTTTGCAAACTTAACATTAAGGAAACAAAGCCAAAAAACAAACTGTTTGGCAGAATCCATCTTGTTAACTTTCCTGACACTCAGGAGCAAAACAAATGTCTGATGGAATAATGGAGGTGCATGCAAGGTGTTTGTCAGCACTCACACACAGCAAAAGCTACAAGCGAGAATCTGGATAAATTGGTCATTAATCATAGAATGCTGTGAAAGCCAAAGCAATTGTCTTCAGAGTTTATCAGTAGCATAAATTGATTCCTTTTCCGATTTAGTTAGTGTAATCCCAAAGGCCGGTACTGCAGCTAAGATTAATAAGGTCTAAACAATTGATTAATGGCAGAATTATTTATGCCAGTACTTTTTTTTAAGTTAAATTGAACACCATTCTTATTTTTCAGCTGGTTTGCTTATTCCATAAAGGTTATTTTCTGAGTAATCTATGTTTGTCCACGTTCGGAGTCCTAAGGGTATTACAACGATTTTGTGGCAGTGAGGTAATATTGCTCATTCATGCTAATGTTTTGCTGAGAAATCACTGTTAGGAATTTCAGAGACTTGCTTGGTGGATGGCACTACCTAGAAATGCAGAACACAGCATTATCTTGGATAAGGATTTAGAAGTATTGTATTTTACAAGCGTTTCCTCACATCCATCCCTATACTATTTTATTTAAGAATGCATTTTAATGTTTCTGAAGATAAATTGAGCACATCCCTTGGAATGGTTTCTATTCCAATGAAAATTCTATAAACATACCACCCATATATTTCACATGTACCACTTGACAACCAAAGAGCTTATCTGGGTTCAAAGTATTTATCTTAATGGGTCTCCTTGTGCCATGTAACACCAGTTGAAAGTCACATCTCTTGGTGTTTCCAGGCCTAGCTAGGTTCCCATGTAAATGTACATCCCATAATTCATTAAAATCAAGTAGTATTCAACCAGTCAGAGTTTAGGACAGGCGTCTGTTTTGGAAACAGTTATAGTTCCCCCTAGTGGAAGCATGAAGTGCTCTAGTCTTTTTGCAACGACTGTTGTAAAAGGCCACAGCAAAGCGACAACCATTCAGCCATCAAGTACTCTCCTGCCTTCTTAACTATTGCAAAGCAAATTTAATTCATTCCCTACTACCCTAGAGTAGAACAAGTCACCTGTAAAGGATAGGAGCCCACCAGACTCACCTTTTTTCTAAGATTATATGCTCATCAATCTTATAATAATCCTTGCATCTGATATGGCATTTTTCATGTCTTCGAGACATCTCAAAGCGCTTCACAGAATAGACTGTAAAGTGAATTGACTGCATATCTGCGATAGGTTGAGAACTGAGTCTATAGTTGTCCAGCAGGAGGTCTGAACAAGTGGCCAAGGGGTGTCTGTCTGATTCTCTTCCACCCACCCCACCCTATGAATGTACGTATGCGTTTAGTGATTCCAAACTGGGAAAAAAAATCCACTCATAGCAAATTTGTGTATGTTGTACTAGATTAGCTACTGCAGAGAACAAAAAACAATGAGAAAACGAAGAACGGCAGAAATAAATCAAACACCATTTCTCTTAATGTGCACGTGTCATCTCATTTTACCCGGATGAAAGTCACAGATCTCTCTGAAAGCACGGTATAAAGTGATGAATTGACAAGTGATTTTATTTTAACATCTCACCTTGAATACTTGGGAGGAAAACACAACTGACATCTTGTTACTCATCAAGGTTGCTTTACAGTATTTCATCACCAAATTACTGACGTGACAGTTCAGCATTTGTTGGGCGCAGAGTTTGTAGCAATAAACATTCAACGAACTTTTGAGGTTTGATTAAAATTTGATGCATTTCGTTTTCAAATACATAGAGCCTGCTTTAATAGTATTTTGCATCTTTAAAATAAAATGTCCCACTGTGATTATTAAACAATGTATTTGTGGAACATTTTCCCAAATCCACAATATTCAGATTTAAGCGTTTAAACTCAGCAACAACAAAGTAGCGCTTTCTCCAGTTAGAGAGTTGGGCAGCATCTCTTGCCCTCAGTAAAAAGGTCTAACATTTAAGGCTACTGGTCCTTAGCTCTGACTTTTTCCACGTTTCATTCTTAGTCAAGTCATTGGGAATATGCACTGCAGCAAACACCCAAAATACCTGGTTTCCATAAGTCGCACGGGCTGAGGTTTCAGTTTCCTGCCCAGATTTAGCAGCAATATTACTTTGGTAGAAAATAGTACTGTACTAGGTAAAAGCAAATCGAAGAAATACGGATATCAAAGAAGTGAAGCGAGCACTTGCTATGGAGCTACTCACTGATGGACCACAGTTACCTTCAGAGAGGGCCAATCAGAAGGAGACAATCTTTACTCATAGCAATAGATATAAAATACAAGGAGGTCCTACCAGACTAGAGTGTTTTTTTTTTTGGCGGGGGGGGGGGGGGGGGGAGGAGTATGGAAAGATAAAGGAGCATTACCATCTGAACCTCCACAACTTGTGGTTATTCTCTCCTTTAAGAAATCGAAGTTGCTGAGCTAAAACCTTTAAATTTCATAGAAATGTATATTTATAGTAAGATTGGATGATTGTTCTCATCTGCATTGAAACCTTTGTGAACTAGTACTTGTGAACTAGTACTGACATTTTATTAAATAGACAAAAACACAGGACTACATTGCAACCCTACAAATATAGGTATATGCCAGTGAAAAGGTTAGCCACCTTCCCTTGATCAAAATTAATCGCACACCGTAAAGGAAGGCTTACAAAATTAGACAGGAAGGGACTACAAATTGTTCGTGGCCTATCCTACTTTTTATTTAATGCAAATTACAGTACCAGTATCTATCGGGAACCGAGTCACACAGAACGATTGTATTTACAGAGATAAACATCAAGCATACTTTCACAAAAATTTATATTAAAATGAAATAAAAATTCAGTCACAAACAGAAGCATTCAAGTAATAATGTTAAACAGGTCTTTTTTTTGTTGTTTTTTGTGTTTTTTTTAAACCAAGACAGTTCCACAAGTGATGCAATGGTTGTATATAACGCACAGTCCTTTTTTGACAGAGGTGGTCACGCTTTTGTATACAGGCTGTGTGAAGCATAGCAAAACATCTCTAATGCGGATTATACAGGCAAGCAGGTAGTCACGCAAGTAAATTACCATGTTTAACCCTTTGTGTACCGATTGCAAGTTGCAACATAAAAACTAGGATTATAGTTAAGGACTTTCACAAATCCCCTTTCGGACAGTTTCAAAGATTTGGCTGGTCTTTCGAACACAAAATTCTGTTCACCATTTAACTTCGATCATGGGAAATCAAGATTGGGCAGGAAACAATTCGAGACACCCAAGAAAGCTCTGAAACCAGATGAAACTGTATCAAAGCTTGGATTTCATTCATTTACCATACACTGCCACCGTGAGCTCACTTGCTACAGTCCTACTCACACTGCTGGCATACCATTTGGAGTCTTCTCAGGGCCAAAGACTGGAAGAGTGACACCACGTGGCAGTTTTACAAACGAACAAATTGATTGGCAAAGCTTTGAAACACCATTGCAGCCCTTGTTAGCGGTACAATTAGGTCGGGCTTGAATTTAATGCTAGCTGGCTAGCAACATGCTAGTGGATGGTTTATATTTGTTCAACTGCCTAGACAATAGTCATATTTTTGCATTACAGTCTCAGTAGGCTGACAAAAATAAAAGACACCATCTTCTTTCCCCTTCCCCCCTACAGGGACATGGAGGGTACTGGGTTGAATCATGTATTCAATAGAACATGCTTTACTTTTACTTCGGACACACACTATGGTGCAATAAAGTCCACTCTCACCAGATTATCGGTTCACCTGTTTTGAGGTCGACTCATTCACAACATAGAGCCATTGTATAATTTTCTGCAGCTCACATTCTGTACACCTAGAACATCCCCACTGGAATCTTCTCTGGATCAGGGGCTGATAGTGGCAAAGAATTGCAGTGAATACTTTAATTTAAAAAAAATATACAAACGTAAGCTTCCCCCTTCCCATTATTCCTAGAACAACAAAACAAATGAAGACGAGGAACATTTACTGGGTACGAAGCCCCCCAAAAAAACAAAACCTGAAGTGCATAATAACCTGTTTGGATGTTCATTTTCTTATTGTAATACAAATATTTATGTGATGCTCATAGTGAATAGATCACCCAACAGTGCAAACCAAACCTGTATAATCAGACGGTTCTGTTGCAACTCCCTACTTTGTCCACAAAGGCTAAAACTGTTTATGTCTACAAGTATACATGATAGCCTAGGATGCAGCAACTGTTCAGGCCTGCTCAGCAATGCAGCTACCCGAATTATCTCCGGTTTCAGAAATCTGCACTGCAAAACACGCTGCTCATTTATTAATTTGTCTGTTTTGATTTAATACCAATTATGTCCAAGACCTTCCTTTTTCCTNCCCAACAGGCAAGCTCTGCTGATCAGACCTGCGGAATTTCAAAACATGGCATTGAAATTTTAACCTAACCTTACAAAAGTGTCCCCTACTGTAACATTTTTCTTATCGATTTCTTTAATATATAAAATCCATAGACTCATCCTCTTTTCTTCCTGAATTATACCTGTGTGAAATTATATCTGTATGGATTATTAGGGATTTGGGTAACTCGATGAAGGCTAACATACGGTGCTCAATTGAACTCATAATCAGACAGCACACCCTAAAACCTTCTACCTGATGCACCAGCTTCATGAGAGTAAGCAAACTCTAAACTGGCCCAAGTACAATAACAAATCTTTGGGTGAGATGTTCTCCCATTATACAATTGACTTGACTCAGAGCAACTTCAACAGGGCCTCAATAACAGACCACTCGACTGGAAGAACAGAAATACAAGTTGCATTGGGGAGGAGTTGGGTGTAGAAAGCGACTTGGAAATTTTTTTTTACAGAATAAAGGCAAGTGAGCTCAACAAATTCACAATTATTTTGTTTGCCGATCAATTTCAATGGGAAGTAAGAATCTCGTGCTGCATGAAAATTACATATGAGGTGGTTACTTCTAAAAAAAAAGGTTATGGTCGTGAAGGATCTCAAATCAAAGAATCAAGTGGACCGAAGCCTAGAGTTCTTAAATGCCAAAAAAAAGACAAGAAAACCCATTCATTCAAGTCCCTATTTGGGACATATTGTCCAACTTCCACAAGATCAGGAAATTATAGAAACTGAACACTGTACTGTACACTCCATGACAAGAATCTATTACCTACATGGACTGGTTCACTTTTACTTGACATTGACTCACCCCTGGGTTCATCCCTTGCTACTTGTAAAGGTTACACACTGCAGCCAGAGGAGCATTAAGGATGAGTAAACTGTTCAGATTAGACGTGTCCTTTTTTATTACACAATTAATTCCTCCACCCATGGTAATCTGTTGTCCTTTCGCAACTGTCCCTTCTGAAAGTACATCAATCTCATGTGAATATGAAAAGTGATGAAAATATCAGCAGTGTGGTATTTCAATGAAAGTAGTACTAAGAGTCGGTTATAAAAACAGAAAGGAAAAAAAAAACAGGGACAAAAGTTCAATACTCATCATGAACTTGTCCCTTAAAGGCACTAATTAAATCCAAACAGTTCTCTCATCCTTAGTACAGATCCACTTGAAACTTCAGAAGCTGCACTTGACCATATTAAAGCTGTGGTATTAACAGGAAGCCACATGATGTGACGTTCCAATATTTATTTGGTGCACACAAGATAAAAGCATTTTGGTAAAACAGTCATTAAAACCAGGATTTGCACCATAAAATGTCGAATTAGAAAGTTTTCTACATTAAAGATTCAGTCAGGTCATGCAGCACCAGCAGCATCTTTCTGTTCACCAGGTTTAATTCACTGCCAGTTTCATATCCTACAGTAGATTTTATGAGTAAAGCAGAGCTGGCACAGCCAAGGTAAATGTTGAAATAGCTGTATAATATACATATGTATGATATATAATCATACATATGCATTTAATGTATTGAAAGTCTGATGCATTTTTTTTGAACATTTCTTTCAAAGGAAACTCTGCCAAATAAAGGACTTAATTATCTGCAGAATATTTCAGCTTCAAATCTCGCATTCTGCTGTAATCTGTTGAGAGCCCAAACATTTCTTTTCTTTAAAATATATCATGCACTATGCAACTTTTGAAGTGTTCAACAATTCACCTTGCCAACTGCTGTGTGAATTTGATGTCAATAATGAAAGTTAAAATGCTTTACAGGATGCCAACTTATTAAAAAAAAAACACAGGTACATAAAGGGTTAAATATGGAAGAAAAAAGCAATTATACTTCAGTGAGGGACATCCATTTAAAAACAAAATCAAACATTGGAAGCAAAGGCACTCCAAACTATATACTATACAGCACTAGTTTTTATTCTTACATTGGAGACGCACCAATAGTACAGAATTGAAACTATATGGCTTTAAAAGCTCTCCTACAATTGAACGAAATTTGCCCTGAATGTTTGTTGCTCTCATCAGTTCCCGGGTCCACATATTTATGTACAAAACAGAAAAAAGGTCTAAAAAATAGGGAAGAGGGTGTCTGAATCTGAAATCAGCAAGGACATTTCTACACAGTTTTGAGGGCTTTCAGTTGGTGTAGCTCAGATATCAATTCGGGACCTGTGGGCTAGGCGTACAATTAACAGAGCGTCCAGTACACAGCAGTTGCCTCTTCTTGCTTTAAAGCCAGTGGCAGAGTATTATTTTGGACCACTTTTTTGAAAAAAAAATCAGCCCTGAACGGTCACGCAATCAAGTCATGAAAAAGACCAATCCAGTACACTCTGATACATTACTTAATTCAGTACTACAACAGTACTGACAATGTCAAACTATCTCAACACGGGGAAGCACTACAATGACTGGAGCCTCTGGTCATTCTCGCAGTGGTTGTTTCAGTGGATCTGTACGCTTGCCCCTATGCTGCTGGTTACAGGTACAGTACTATTACATGTAATACCTGACTAAATACTACCACCATCATCCCCAGATCCTTAAAAAAGACTGATGGCATTGCTTTTTGCCAAAAATCAAATCCTGCACTACACCAGAGTGAAACACACCTCAGGTTTTCTTATTTTTGCGGAGAGGGGAAAGGGGGGGTGGGTGGGGGGAGAGGAGAAGGGAAAGATTTGGACGACACTATGGCAGACTTCAATAAAAGATTGTCAAGGGAGGAGTTTAATATTGCTCCACATTCCTTCTCAATCCCTCTGAGTAAATGATTGGTTTGTATTTACTTTTTAAACAGGATTAAATAAAATGAATACTAATGATGTTTTTTTTTCAAATTTGACCAGCGTGTGGCTGATTGGAAATCTGAGCCAGGACAATCCACTTCCTCAGGTTGAGTTGGATGCAGAGGCTGAGGCTGCATTAGTAGACTGTCCACGATCTACAGCAACATTGGTATCTGCAAAGGACAAAAAATAGCATTTAATAAATAACTACCTGACGTAAGTGTCTTGTGCAATTAAGTGTTTGTTTTAAAAAAAATAACTGAGAATATGAAGTGGCACATACAATAACACATACCTTTGGCTTAAACCCCATAAAAGTTTTAAATATCCCCAGAATATCTTCACAAGGTCTCATGAACAATACACCAAGAAGAAACAAAAGGGGGATTTGTGAAGTAATAATAATAACCCTGGTATTTAATATGGAGCCTTAACACGTCATTGAGATGTCTCAAAGCACTTCACAGAATATACTGTAAAGTGGATTAACTGTATTTTTTATGGGCGAAACGTAGCCTTTTGGGAAAGTCAAGGAACACCACAGGAGGTTCTGATAAGACTGCAAAGTGGCAAAATTCAAGGGTGACAGAATTTTACCAACCACCACAGACCCATTTGATTGACCTCAGAAATTGAAGTGGGAAAGGAACCAATAAACAAACACAATGGAAGAGTGCTTCAGAATAACCCAAAAATTACATCAACACATTCACAGAAGGGGTAGAGCGTGTTTGCCCACCTCATTGCCAAAGGTAAAGCATAAGACAATATACCTACTTTGAGAAAGCTTGACAAAGTGCCACACAAAGTACTAGAAGAGACCCCTTTTACAAATAGTAGGTATTAATTGGCAGAATACAGTTGAAAAGGGAGAGAAAACAAACAGGAGAAAAGCACTGTGTAGGATACATCTCAGACAGCTCAGCTGGTTGAGCTACTATCGTTGCTAAACAATTCTGAATCCACCCTGCACTTCATCCTTAATGTGTCTTAACGGAAAATCCTTTGGAAAAGTAAGCAGTGCCAACGTAGGGCTGAATTGCCTCCAGAGACTCCAGATTTGCAACATTCGAAAGCATGGTTGAGCAGCCAGACTCGATCACCAATGAAAGCTGGTGTCAGAGATGGGTCCTCACCCTATGAATCAACACCCAAATAGATAAATAAGGCTGGATGATGAAGTACAACAACTTGCATTTATAATGCGCCCTTCACGTGGGATTGGGTCTCGGAGAGCTCAAGTACTGTGCTGGCACATTCCACTACGCAGTGGGAAGCTGATGAGAGCTGGACTTCAATTAAGACGAAACCAAATGTTGATGGTAAACCAAAATAGCATTTGACCAGTATACATTTTCTCAATTTGTAGGTATTGGGTATGAATATAGTTTGTGGACAAGTTTTCTATGGGATCGGGTAAGCCATTCCAAAGGTCAGTACAATGTTACCAGAAACAGCGAGGGCTTCCTCTGCTCTGAACTGCTGCAAACAGTGGAACAATGTACAGAAGGGTGCATGGCAATGCAAATGCAAGTCCAACCAATCTCTAGAGGAAAATTTTCTGCTGCACTTGAGAAAAATGAACAAGTTATTGAATGTTTTGAGACTTGAATACGTTGATCTGAGGAAAACTGTTAAATCATGAATTTGTGGCCTACCTTCCTCCGTCTGAATCATCTACTTGTGTGTGTGTGTGTGTGTGGGGATTTACCAAGCAACCACTGACATTTTCTGTAGGATTGTCCACATTAGGCAAGTGTTGAGCTGGTCCGCACACATTCGAACCAGAAGTGCCAGTGGAGGGTGGTGGGAGAGGAAGGAGAAAAAAAATGAGCCCAAAAGAAAGCACTTTGTACCGGGTTCTCTGGCATAGGAAGGGAATCTTCACAAACTCCAAGGTGCAACATTGCGGGGGCCAATATTCTCGCCTCAGTTTGACTGACATGCACAAGAGGTAATAATATAAATAATAATCCTTCCATTTGATACAGTGTTTTTTCACATCTTCGAGACGTCTCAAAGCGCATCACAGAATATGCTGTGTACTTGTGGACCAAACGCAGCAGCCAATTGCGTATAGCAGTGTCCCACAAACAGTGGATTGAGTGACCAAAAAATTATTGTTTTTCTTTATTTTTTTCTTGAGGGATTATTATCAGGAGTGTGAAGTAAGAAAACATGCCCAAGGTTTTGCCCTGCTGGGAATCAAACCCAGGTCTCTCACTTGCGAGGCAAGGGCTCTAACCGCTGAGCTACAGGTACTATTCCCATTATGAACTAAATAAACATTGAGAGGCCTGAAGACAAGGAGAGATTTTTTTTGGGGGGGCTGGCGGTGCACACAAAATGAGCAAAACCAATCCTTTTCTTTTTCTTGTGGAATTACAATTGTAACAAAACACCAAACTTCCTCTCAAATTGAAGATAACATTGGCTCATAGTCTCCAAAGCCTGTGCATCACTTCTCAACTTTCCACAAATAGCATGAAGTGACCACACAGACCTTCAGTTGGTGCGGAGCTCTGAAATTTGAAGGAAGCTTGTGGTGACCTTCATGTGGGCATCTGATCTTGTTAATATACGTCAAGGAAACCTATGGTTCATTTGTCTCAAAACACAGGTGTGAACCACAAAGACTGCTGACCGTATGGGAGATGTGTAGAAACTCATCGATATTGTATGATTTCTGTTGGGCTGTTATAATCTAACCAGTGTGATCCACTCAATTAGGTCTGTCTTGTTAACTATTTCTGCAGCTCCTATGGAAACATGAAAAGCTACAGCTATGCATACTATGAAACAGAATCCCCAGTTCTACAATCCAGATGAAGTCCTTAGCCATAGAGTGTTCTATAATAACAATCCTTGCATTCGATAATAGCGCCTTATCACATCTTCTAGACGTCTCAAAGCTCTTCACAGAATATACGGTAAAGTGAATTGACTGTATATTTTGTGGGAGAAACGTGGCAGCCAACTGTGCACAGCAGTGTCCCACAAAAAGTCGTGGATTCAGTTACCAAATTATTTTTTTAAAAAAAGAAATTATTACCCTTGGAAAAGCGATCAGCCAATTGACTGACAACCGGGTTCCTACTTACTGTTAGGTAAACAGAGGCGTGTGGACTAAGGAAACTTGCCCAATGTTTTGCCCTGCCGGGAATCAAACCCAGGCCCTCTCACTTGTGAGGTGAGAGCTCTAACCACTGAGCTACAGGACTCCCTAAGAGGATATCGGGAGACCAGGAGATGAGTCATCTGCTGGTAAATTCAGCCAGCCATCGTTTCTTAAATTTAAATAAAGCTAACTTTGCAGGTATGAGGGAAGAATGAGCTAAAATAGACTGGGGAATTAGATTAATGGATATGACAATAGACCAACAGTTGCAAACATTTAAAGATGCAGTGCTAAATTCTCAGCGGTCACATATTCCCTTGAGAAATAAGAGTACCACAGGGAAAGCAGTTCATCCATGTCTAACTAGAGCAGTTAGAAAAAGTATAAAACTAAAAGGCCTATAAAACTGCCAAAAAGAGTCGCAAACCAGAGGACTGGGAATGTTTTAGGGACCAACAAAGGAAAACCAAAAAGCTCATTAAGAGTGAAAAAATGGATATGAGGGCAAGCTGGCTAGGAACATTAAGACAGATTGTAAGAGTTTTTATAAATACATTAAGAGGAATAGGCTAGCAAAAGTAAATGTGGGTCCATTCCAGGCAGAGACTGGAGTCCTGTAGCTCAGTGGTTAGAGCACTCGCTTTGCAAGCGAGAGACCTGAGTTCAATTCCAGGCAGAGCGAAACCTTGGGCAAGTTTCCTTACTCCACACGCCTAATAATAATCCCTCCAAAAACCAAAAACAATAATAAAAATTGGTCATTTTCAATCTATGACTATTTGTGGGACATTGCTGTGTGCAATTGGCTGCCGCGTGCGCCCACAAATATACAGTCAATTCACTTTACAGTGTGTTCTGTGAAGCGCTTTGGGACGTCCTCCCGACATGAAAAGAGCTATATCAAATGCAAGGATTATTATTATAGAGACAGGAGGTATTATAATGGGGGATAAGGATATGGCAGAGTCCCTAAATAAAGACTTTGCTTCTGTCTTCATGTTAGAAGCACAAGAAGTTTACCAGAAATAGAGATGAACCAAGGGGCTAATGATAGGGAGCAACTTAGGGAAATTTACATTAGCAAAGAATTGCTGCTAGGGAAATTGTTGGCATTAAAAGTGACAAGTCCCCTGGACCTGATGGTCTGCATCCTAGGGTTTTAAAAGAGGTAGCTCATGAGATAGTGGAGGCCTTGTGTCTGATCTTCCAAAATTCTTTGCATTCTGGAACGGTTGCCACTGATTGGAAGATCGCAAATGTTACCCACTATTTAAGAAGGGTGGGAGAGAAAAGACAGGGAACTATAGACCAGTTAGTCTGACATTGGTGGTAGGGAAAATTCTAGAATCCTTAATTAAGGATGTCGTAGTGGGATACTTAGAGAAACACAATATGATTAGACAGAGTCAACATGGCTTTACAAAAGGGAAGTCATGCTTAACAAATCTTTTAGATATTTTGAGGACATATCAAGTAGATTAGATAGGGGGGAATTAGTGGAATGAGTGTATTTAGATTTCCAAAAGGCATTCGATAAGGTGCCGCATAAAAGGTTGATCCACAAGATTAGGGAATTAAGGGGAATATATTAGCATGGATTGAAGAATGGCTAGCGGGAAGAAAACAAAGAGTAGGGATAAACGGGTCCTTCTCAGATTGGCGGGATGTGACTAGTGGAGTGCCACAAGGATCAGTGCTTGGGCCTTAACTATTTACAATCTACATCAACGATCTCGATGAGGACATCGAACTTAATATATCCAAATTCGCGGATGACACTAAACTAGGAGGGAGAGTAAACACCGAGGATGACATTAAAAAAATGCAACGAGATATACATAGGCTAGGGGAGTGGGCAAATAGGTGGCAGATGAAGTATAATGTAGGGAAGTGTGAAGTCATCCACCTAGGTGGCAAAAACAGTAGATTATTTTTTAGAAGGGGAGAGACTAGATAGTGTTAGCGTTCAGAGGGACTTGGGTGTCCTTGTACACCAGTCAAAAAAAGTTAGTTTGCAGGTACAGCAAGCAATTAGGAAGGCTAACGGTATGTTGGCATTTGTCACAAAAGGGTTAAAATATAAGAGTAGGGAAGTCTTGCTGCGACTGTATAGGGCCCCGGTGAGATCGTATTGTGTGCAGTTTTGGTCTCCTTATTTAAGAAAGGATGTACTCGCCTTGGAGGGGGTACAACGTAGATTCACTAGGTTGGTACCTGGGATGAGGGGAATGAGTTATGAGGATAGGTTGAGCAATTTATTCTCTAGAATATAGAAGAATGAGAGGTGATCTTATAGAAACCTATAAGATTATTAAGGGGCACGACAGAATAGACAGTGGGAGACTTTTTCCCCTGGTTGGAGAAACTATAGCCAAGGATCATAGTCTGAAAATTCGGGGCAAGCCCTTTTGCACTGAGTTGAAGAAAAACTTCTTCACTTAGAGGGCTAGTAAATTTATCGAATTCTCTACCCCAAAGGGCTGTAGATGCTCAGTCCGTGAACATATTCAAGACTGAGATTAATAGATTTCTTGTGGATAAAGGGATTAAGGGATATGGGAATAAGGTGGGTAGATGGAGTCAGAATCAGCCATAATCTTATTGAATGGCGGGGCAGGCTGGAGGGGCCGAATGGCCTACTCCTGCTCCTAATTCTTATGTTCTTAAGTTTCATGCAAGGAAATGTGTCTCCCAAAAAGTCAACTGATCGGATTTGGCCTGGGAGAGTAGGTTTCACTCGTTGGGACAGTAAACTTTCGATAGCAGCTCAGTACTTGGATACCATGACAATTTACATTACTCTCATGCCTAAAACATAGGAAAATTGTTTTACAGAGGAAACATGAACCATAGAATAAGATGGGGGATGAGTGGAGAGAAGATGAAAAGGAAGAAGATTGAAGGTGTTGGACCACAGAATAATCTGCTGATCTAAGTGTAGATAAAAGGTGTAAATGTAGCCTCAGTAAAACAGGAGCTGCTTGGGCAGATCAACGCACAAGCAATTATTTTATTATTACATTACTTTTCTTTCAATCAACATTTAGACAAAGTATGGGGGTTGAGTGAGAAAGACAGTGGTTCAAAGAAAATAACTTTTGCAACATTTTGTATGTAAACAACTCAAAACATTTCACAAGTAATTCCTGTCAAATATAATTTTGTTGGAACATGCAGCAACCACTGTGCATCACCAAGATGCAGCCATGCAGCTAATTTAAATGGAAAATTGATGGCCAGCCTTGTTTCTCTTTACAAACAAGCCTCAACAGAACCACAACAGCATAATGTCTCATCTGAAAGACTGGCCCTGTACAATGCAGCATTGCACAGAAGTGCAGCAGAAACTAACGTGCAAATACAGATACATTGACAAGACAACAGTTTGTAAAGACAATCGACAAGAAGACAGATTGATAGAAGAAAGATAATACCGCAGGACAGAAGATTGTACTGTAGAGACAAAAGATTATTCTGATACTAGGAGTGTTTGTAGGCCAGCACACGAAAGTAAGAACAAACATTTGGAAAAATAAGTTGTACATCAAAGAAGTGAATCCAAGAAAATGAAAGAATAAATGGATCTAAAGATCACAAATACATTTTTTTTAAATTTGAAAGAACAAGAGTGACACTGATGTTTCTCCAGTGGAAAAACTGGGGCATGCAGTCTTTATATAATGAGTGAGAGCAGTGGATTTACTCTGGTGACTTGATGATTTATTTCTTTTCCAACAGAGTATATACATTTCACCCACAAAATTTACAGTCAATTCACTTTACAGTATATTCTATGAAGCACTTAGAGAGATGTCTCAAAGACGTGATAAGGCGCTATATCAAATGCAAGGATTATTATTATACGGATCAACCTGGAACTCTCCCGAAGTTATGGAGAGGGTGACAAACAGAAAAGAATCAGAATTGTCCAATGAAAGTCGTGGTAATTAACAAATGTATAATTTTGAGTTTGCATTTGTAAGTTTGTGTGTGTGTTATTTGATCATAGTACTAAAATTTGCTCACTCTGAAACTACATTTACCTCATTAGTGCGGTTGAACTACCTTTTTTTAAATTTAAAAACTCATAATTTTCAACATGGCTATAAAACTGAAAAAAGTCAAAAGTTCCACTGTACAGTTGTTGAGATGCTTCCTGACCATTTAATAATTCTCAGCGAGAAGTTTTAAACTTTGAATTCTATAATGGTTAAAACGGTTTATGAAATGAATGTTGAACAAGACCTTTATAATTTACTCATGAAGTCTACGGTTTGATTCAGTCACTGTTATATAAGGGGTTTCTCCCAGTGTCTTGGCTAATCCCTCAAATAAAACTGGTCATTCCCTTCATGGCTGTTTGTGGGAAGTTGTGTGCAAATTAGCTGCAGGCTTTGTCTATAATTTAGTCACTACACTTTCCAGTGAAGGGCGAAGAGCTTTGAGATGACCTTCCGAAGTGAAAGGCACTATATGAAATCCCAGGATTATTAGTCCAGTACCAGGCAAGAGTACTCTATGTGCTGTACTTTTCATTCATGACAAAACATGCATTGTTACAGATATTGGACTGAATAAACACTGCACTTTTACAAATTTTCCTCCTCCACCATGAAATGTTATGCTTAATCGGGATGTCAGAGATAAGAAATAGAACATTTCTCATGCTGGTATTGCCAGATTAGGTATTGTACACCAAAAAATATTTTTACAAAATGGGTCTTTCGGCCAATCGTGCATGTGCAGATTCCCAAGCGCTCACGGAGGCTACCTTGAATGAGGGGCGCTTTATAAATGCAAGTTGTTGTAGATATTTGTCTAATTTTCTATTCAAAGCTATTATGAACTAAGCTTCACCCACAAACATTGGTAAGGTATGCCATGTAAATGTAGATGGGCAAGTAAGCATCACATATTATCCTGATTTTTCAGACACACCTGAAGACCTTTCTCTTTGACTCGGTGTCAGGCTCCGCCACCATTAAGCGCCCAGAGACGCTACCCCTCGTGAAAGGCGCTATATAAAAGCATTGTTGTTGTAAAGCTCTTCCCATTATCTCGGAACAATTGATCTTAATCTATCCTAAGTACAAACTCCTCTAACCCACCCAGTGTGATGTTTTACATTGCTACACTAGTCTTCCTGTCCCATACGGATTAGAACACCAACTCAGGTAAAGATTTTGTGTTTTGGGATCATACGCACTAGGATTTCATGTAGCGGACTTTCATTTTATTAGTTATGCTGGATATTAATACACGTCTCTAGAAGTCAATCCCAGAGTATAGCCCATTGAGATAATCAGTCCTGTTAACAACTCATTTCTCCTCTTCTACGGGGGTTAGATTCATTTATCTTACTTGGGCGCTGTAAAGATTCTCTCATGGCTTGAGGTAAGGTTGCAGAAACTCATCTCTCTTGCAAGTTTCTTGTATAGCGTGCTTACCTCTAGAAATACAGCAAGTGCAATTGCCATCAACTCATAAACTACAAGTACACAAAATGCATTAAGATGATAGTTTTAAGTACAGGGAAACTACATTTGAGTGGTTTTAATACTTTTTAGAAACATTTGCCATTTACATAAACTATTCTCTATTGGCAAAAAAAAGTTTGTCAAACTTTAAATATTACATTGAAATACCTCAAACTGCCTTCTGAAATATTCAAGAACTGATCCAAGATCCATGGCAGTTAGTCATACACCTGTTGCCTATTTATAATGAGCTTTCCCCCCACCCCTATCTTTTTCTCTTCTAGAGAGATGGACCCTTTGACCTAATCCAGGAAAGCATTGGGCACAGGCTGGCTAAAGCCAAGGTTTGGAGACCTGAGAATGCGCATTAAGGTATTGCTGGATTCAACCAGCAAAAGCTGCACAGCTTGCTATTGCAAATGCTGGCAAATTTTATCCTGAAACTCAGTGAGCTAGAAACACAGTTAAGAGTTTTCGCTAGCAAAGCTAATTGAAGCCAAGTGAGAAGAATCTATTCGCAGTTGAGTGGTCTGCTGCTCAAGTCCAACACCAAGCCAGGCTGGCCAGTCCGTTATCAACAGTGCCTTGGACCATCCTGGCTCAGGAACAGGACGACCAAGATCACCACAGAAAATCAAATTGATTCCAATAATCCACTACCAAGCGCGTCACCTTGGAGCCAACTCAATCCCAGAGAGACCAAAAACATCTTCAAGGTTAATAAAAATAACCAAGGAAACAGTTAATGGAGAATTTTATTTCTGACATAAATAAACCTTGTACTGAGTCATGACAAATTCATCAAAGGAAATCCCAAAATAAAATCTTATTCAACACCTAGAACTACATTTGAATTTTTCGCCTCCAGTGGATATTAGTGAGAAACGATCTCACTCCTCCCTTCTCCCTGTAACACACAGCTCTAGCTTCAACTTGACCTCCTGATTCTTCTTCCCCGTATTACAGTTCTAAAAAGGAGGTTTCATTCAATATTCTTCTCACAATGAGTCAGTCTGTGCCTGAGATAACATTCCTCCTCTGCTGTACCAGTCCTCCCCGAAATCCTATTCTTCCTCTTCTGCTGTGCCAGCCATCTCAACTCATTTTCCTGATTCATGTGGTCATTGACATCGCTTTTGTTCTATTGCAGTCTGTCTGAGACCGTCTTGCCTGCCGTGCTAAGCTGAAGCGCACTGTGGCTCACCTGACACCGCGGAAGCGTTTGTTGGAGTTGAAGCAGGAGCCTGATTCCGAACGTGGGGAGGGATAAGAATTGATGCCAGTGCAGGGTTGCTTGACAGTTCTGCAAAAACAAGACATTTCATTCAACAGATCAGCACCGGAAAAAGACCTCTGAAAGAGTTTAACATACTGCAATTGCCCAGTATTGCAATGGCCTTTATGTTTCTGGATTTTCAATTTATAGTATAGTACTTGGAAGGGGGAAGAGAGGAGAAGGTCAGGCAGTAGTTCTACATTAGTCCTTGTAGCAATTTCATTTTATAGCGTCATGCTATAGAGGAAACGCCTTCTATAGAACACACAGAAGCTCTTTAGTAAAAGCTAAATCACAAAGGTAAATAAAACGTGTGTGAACCCAGCATTCATCTTTTTATTTTCGTTCTCCTTCATACCTCCCCAACTCATTCTATTTTCTCTCCTCAGCAAAACACCAAAGGTGCCATCAATACCATTCTCCAAATTCGCCGGGAGAGATTTTTTTTTGAAATCTTTCTCCCAGACACAAGCCTGGACAGATGATTCACTCAAGGTGTGATCAAACGCCAACGTTAGTAAATACTGGTACAGGTTGACTCACGATGACTCCGTGAAGCGCTTTGAGACATCTCAAAGATGTGAAAAGCACTATATCAAATGCAAGGATTATTATTATTATGACTTATTCACTATCTTTAACACCATATTTTACAACGTGTTGTGTTTTCCAATGGTATTTCTAATGGTCACAGGGCAAACTGGCCAGTGATGTACTGGTTTGGAAAAATCTTGAAATTAGTTTTTCCCCATTGCTAGTTTTGAGGAGTTTCCAGTCCTCTCTGATCAGTTAAGAGATGGTTCTTCACTGACATAAATGTTTCCATTCACTAGAAGTGCAGTAACACTGCAATGGAGCAGATTTAATTTGGGGAATGCATTGATCAACTATTTGTTTTACCTGTGGGGCAATCCACATCATTTCTCTGATAATAAACCACACCTTACATAGCTTGCCATCATATAGTTACTACTGCTTTCCATTCTACAAAATAATGGATAAATAAGATCGAATGAAAACAATATTTGAACAAGGCTTTAGATGTTGACACCTATGTAGTTTGAAATCCATCTAAACTCCTACTTCCAAATTATACTTTGATTTTTGGAGAGGCTTTTATTGCACTTTCAGTCTATATTTCTTCTTTTGAAAATAGTTGTTGTGAAATGCTGGAGGAAACAAGTTTGTTCAGTCCATCAACCCCTATCAAATGCAAAGATTATTTTTGTTTATTACACCGTCACAGAAATGTACTCTACTATCCCATGCAAAACTGCTGCGTAGAAACTCCCTGAAACCCAAAGCGAACCTGACCACCTCCCCTCCAGAGACAATCTTTCCTTCCCAGCAGCACACATAAATCATTGTTTCATGGACTACAGCGGTGTTTTGTTATAAAACAGTAGTCCGGAGGCATAAAATCATAATCTACTTCATAAATTCGCTCACAAAATATCCAGTAAATTCACTTTACAGTCTATTCTGTGAAACGCTATTATACCTCTCTAAGACGTGATAAGGCGCTATATCAAATGCAAGCATTATTGTTATCAAGTCTGCCAGAGTTTGTTTCACTGGCACATGTAAGACTTGGGGCCCATCAGTTCTCCACCATTACTTCCCACATGGTGCTTATACGTAACTCAGGAAGTGATGTCAGCGGTGACCTGATGTGGGCCATTTTTAATATGGGAGCCAGGCGCCTCACACAAGGTAATGAACAGGGTCTGCACCTCATTGGGTGCTATTCACAAACCAGCACTATACTGAAGCACTTATAAACAGGGCTACACTGTAGTCTTGGTAAATAATCTCAAATCATTTTTATTTTATCTGCTACCGAGACCAGTTTCTTGTTATGGTCTATTTCCTGACACTGTAGTCACACACTTTGTGAGTACATAATGAATCACCTCCAGACACACTCTCTATAACTGCCACTCTGAATAGACCAGTGTGTGAATCTAGTTCCAAAACATTATCCGGCTGGTACTAATTTTATCCTGCTTAAGGTCCACTGAATCAAAGTGGAGATTAGTCAAAAGCACTGAGTTCCAGATCCATTTGATCAGTCATTGCAAATTACAAGGTGTGCTCAGAACGTTAGAGACTGCCTAAATGAAAAACAAGTGTCTTCAACAAAAGGCCAATGAAATCTTAAGATACGGCAAGATTTGCCAGACACCAGCCTGTTTAGATGATGAAATAGCTTGAAGCAAGAATAAAAACGATTAGATATTTGATTAGGACACAAGACCTTTTTTATGTCTCAAACTTAATCGGAGTTGCAGAGCAATTTCAAAATTTAAAATGGCTGAGCATAGTTCTCCAGTTGCTTCAAGGTCGGAAGACCTGTCAAAGTAACAATTCAAGAATAACAGCAGGGTTATGTTATGCTTTGTGTGCTCGAAATGCTGATTGAAAATGTGGCAAATGGAAACTTTTTTGGTCCAACCAATTCACAAACCATTGTTACTTAGAACTGACAGTTTCCACTGTGGTCGCCCAATTAACTGCTGTGATCTCTTGGCTCTTTTGTTGATGTGAATATTTCTAATAATAATCCTTGCATTTGATAAAGCACCTTATCACGTCTTCGAGACGTCTCCAAGCGCTTGACAGAATATACCGTAAAGTGAATTGACTGCATATTCTGTGGGTGAAACAGAAATATTTATAATATAATACAAAAATATTTCTGTAGTCAAATATGGGCGCATCAAGCATAGTTTACCTTGAGTAGTGAAGTTGAAGAGTAATGGTTTCTCACGTCCGTTTGGTAACTTGACAATGGGGTCCCGTAATTCATCAAAGAATGTATGTGCACATGCCTCTAGAGGTGTCAGGCGGGCAGTTGGCGTGTATTCGAGCAGCCGGCTGCACAGCGCAATGGCTTCCGGGGGAGTGCGGGGTCGGAAGACCTGCCAAAGTAACAATTCAAGAATAACTGGCAAAATGTGAATTTGATGAAGGAGATACTTTGAATGGCTATAATTGACTGAGGTGCACACTTGTTCAACAGCCGATTTAAAACAAATGTTAACCATATATTAAAACCACATTTTAACAGAATCCCATACAAACATGAAATAACTGCCAACTGGAATACAAGTCTTCTAGAGAAGTTTGGATATAGAAGTTTAACTTTTTTTTTTAGTAAATGGTATATTCTTGCATCAGATTACCAAACCTCGAGATTTGCAAATGATGTCCTTTTATATTGAGTGAAGTGATCGCTTTGAAGCGGTGCAGTGATTTGAAGTGGAAGCGCAGATTTATATTTCCCACTTGTTGCTTTTGCTAGGGGCTGGGATAATAACCTGGACATAGACTAAGCACATTGGCAGAGCTTTGTTAAACAGCACTGGATAACTGATTATTTTCATTATAAAAGGCCTGGGATGGAACCCTAGACCGCCTAAGAACTTTTGTTGAACGATTTTCTTTCTTCTCTTCTGCATCCCACCCAGTTGAAATCAGCTATACTGTACAGTATTTATGTTGCAGTCAACAATCAACCATTTTCCCGAAACCTTTAAAACTGTGTTTATACTTAGGCAAACTGTGGCATCTTTTGGGAAATTAAAAAGAAACTGCCTCCTCTCCCCCTTACCAACAGTGAAGCTAGCAATCGGACTGTTCTGTGAATTGCTGGCAATTGTAGAAACTTACCTTAGTCCAAGGATGTGCCTTGATCTGTGGGAATTTGAACTCAGTGTAGTTGGGATTCATCTCTCGGATTTGTTCCCTTGTTGGAGTTCCCAGGACCTGGAAGCAAAGACGCAATGAAATCTTGCGTTGCCATAATTTGACAATTCAACCAAAATAAAAATCATAGGATAATGCAAATAAATACATAGTAGACAGATGTTCAAAATCTACAGCACCTTTAAAAAAAAGGTTGTTGTTTAGTTACAAGCAATTCTCAGAACACGAGTCCACCAGAAAGTCATAGCTTATCAGAAATGTAATTACAGGTATAGTCCTTATGATTCTTTGAAGAAACCTTAACTGCCTTACACAAAAAGGAATTGCCCATGTCTTCCGCAATTAGATCAAGTTAATCTTGGTAATCCTTTGTTCTAAAAGATCAAGGTGATGTGAGCCAATTTTGAAAATTGAGAGACATGTCCCACATAATGGATAATATTCCTGCATTCTGCTCCCTGTTATGGTATGAAAGATCCAGAACGTTCTAAAAGTATCAGTGCAGATCTGCACAACACTGGATGGTTGGCCTTTGTATCTATAGCCATATTGATTGTTGTATATGAATAGCAGAGCTAGTTCTACTGCTTAAAGAGTGAACCTGCTTTTGTGCTGGACCTTTTGGTTGAGAGAACAATCCCTGGATCCCAAATTCCTGAAAGAAAACCGTTTCTTATGAAGGTAAGACTACATGGAGGAGACAACAAATGTAATCTACTGAGGGAGTTTAAGTAGAAAATCAGATCCCTCCTACTCAATCCAAATATTTCTTAGTGTAGCAGAGTCCAGTCTAGAGTCTCTCCTCAAAAGGCAAGTAAACCTTTAGAAATGTCTGAGACGTGTGTGATCTATAAAAAAAACCTTTAGAAATTAGAACTGATTTACATTTATATCTTTGTAACAAAGTACAACTCTGATTTTCTATGGTTGGGTTAGAAGAAACATTTGAAATTGTAGAATACTAACTACTGTTGTGTAAATTGACTTCAACTTTTCTAGATTTAGATGGCAGTCATACAAACTTCTGTAATGATGGCATTGTGGAAAATAAACTAATGGAATAGTGTAGTGGCCAATGCAGCTTTCACCAAAAGTGAATTACATCAAGTTCTGGTGACAAGTATGAAAGTAAATTATTGCATGTTATTTTATTCAGATGGATGGTTAGTGTGCCAATACCATGGCACTTGTGAGAAAGAGAGGTGGGAGAAAATGTGGCCTAAAGCAAAAGTGGATGCTTGCCAGTATAATACATATATTTTTATTCTATTCAAAATATTCCTCACTGCAATGCTTCATTAATTTCCTCACTTATGAAACAGTCTCAAAATAAATCAACTTGCAGTTATAATAGGAAAATAATATGCTTCTATGTTATTTGAACTGAATCTTAGACCTAATAATAAATTAAAATAACAAAGCCAGTACCTTACAGGCACTAAAGCTAGTGTGATTTAAGATGCACAGCTGAATTTAGAGAGCATTTGGATAGGGAGGACAAACCATCTCTCAAGTGCAGTTTCTCAGCTAAACATTCATCCTGTCCAATTGTTTGCTTGGAAACCGCATCTGGCTGCAGCTTGTTTAAGTCTCAATTCTATTTTTGTTCCCTGATCTCAGTTTCCTCTGAAGCTCTACGTAATTTCTTTGCTAACCAATTTTTTTTTATATGCAATATCCGTTTTTCCTCTCTCCAGTTCCAACTTCACTTTCTCTTTACACTTGCTCCTTTTCAGTTTTCAATCTCTCCTTTTTTGGATGTGTTTTTGTGCTAAAGTAGACAGACAAATTCTTTCCATCTAGCTCATGAACATAACTCAATCCGTATTGATTTCACCATGAGCTGCTCGTGGGGGCGGGAGACTAAATATCAATTTCATAGTGGCCGCACTCATGTCGTCACCGGCACCATCATCAGCTCTGGACTCTGCCGCACTAAATGCTGCGAACGAGGAATGAGAGATTTTGAAAGTTCTTAAAATTGTAGTTAAAAACTCTCTTAACCAACTTAGTATACATTTAACACTGGGCTGAAACAGGCTGAACCTTACAGGATGATAGCCGTTGGCATCTGATGGTTAAAAATAAGTCCTTTTAAAGTTGCATCTAACTTGTTGACAGTTGATGTAACAGCTTTATTCACCCTCAGCCTCGTGCTGGCAGTTAGTTGCCTCATCTACTCCAGAAATGTAGATTGGTTTCACCTACGTTAAGATGAACAACATTTTATTCTGTCTTGGATGATGTAATCCCTAGCACAGAAAAATATTACTGGGGGAAGAAAGGAAAAGGACTTGGGGTGATGGAGAAAACAAAAATCCAGGACGAAAATATTAATACAGGTAATTAGTCACTGAAGCCTAGGTCCCTTTAACAAGAAGGTCAAATGTAAAAGTGGAACAATGAAAAGGCAGAACCATGTAAAACTGAGACTGTCAAATGGTGCTACAATTTAGAAAATTATACCATACCTTTATGATTTCCACCAGTTGATCAACACCACTGTCACCTGGGAAAATGGGCTGTCCTAGCAATAGCTCGGCTAACACACAACCGGCTGACCACACGTCTATATACAAGAAATAACACAAACAATTAATCCACAGTAGTGATTCAATAGCACTGTGCTCACACCATTTTCTTTTTTTTTTAAAAAGCTAGTTTAGTAGACACTTTGAACCAAGTTGCCAGTGTTTACACTGAAAAGATTAAGCATATTTTTCTGGATTCCATAGCTCATAGCTTTATAACTCTATGGGTTTATCTAAATTTACTGGACGTAGAATGCAGTTGAAAATCCATAATCTTATCATTTATAGAGCGCCTTTCGCGTTGAGAGGACGTCCCAAGGCGCTGGACAGTCAGGGGTCAGGACCCGAGCATGGGAGAGGGGTGGGTGAGCGGTGAGGGAAGGCAGAGAGGAGGGAGGGCGACTGAAGGCACGATCGAAGAGGAGGGTCTTGAAACTGGCCTTGAAGGAGGCAAGCGAGGTGAAGGGACTATGGGATGGAGTTCCAGAGTGTGGGGGCAGAGAGGCTAAAAACCCGGCCACTGATGGTAGAGCGGGTTGGGGGGGGAGACATGCAGCAGGCCGGAGTCCGTTGAATGGAGGGTGTGGGCAGATTGGTAGGGAGTCAGCAGGTCAGAGAGGTAGGAGGGGGCAGGGCCATGGATGGCCTTGAAAGTGACGACGAGGATCTTGAACTCGATCCTCTGGAGGATGGGGAGCCAGTGGAGTCGGGCGAGGGTGGAGCCTGGTGCGAGAGAGCACACGAGCTGCAGAGTTTTGGATGATCTGCAGCTTGTGAAGGGAAGAGTTGGGAAGGCTGATGAAAGGCTGCTTTTTAAAAAAATCTAAACATGCCAGGCTATGAATCAAGATCAAAGTAGAATTCATCCCACTTAACATTGGCTGAGAATAAAGCAGCAGATTCATAATTGAACAAATTTTCTTTCAACGTGAACAAAACATGGACTGGGAATAATAAAGAATAATAGATGGCTGGCAGAGAGTTACAAGACTGTAATTAAATTTTTTTTAAAAATATCCTTTGCGACATGCAGACCGTGTCATAGCGATGAGTGAATTGAGAGCTTTACAACATAACGAATACACCATGCGACGTGGAGAATGTTTCATTGTTGCCTATCAAGAGATTTCTTTACAACACACAAAAGAAAGCAAATAACGCATTCCAAAAAAACTCCTGCAATAACCAACTCACCTATACTGGAGGTATAATCCGTGGCACCAAAGATCAACTCTGGCGCTCTGTAGTACCGTGAGCAAATATAAGAGACATTTGGCTCACCCCGCACCAACTGTTTTGCGCTGAAAGAGATAAATACCAACATGTACACAAAATTCATTCACGAATTTTTTAAAAAAATCAAAGATTTTACAACATTTGTTTCTTTGTCCACACTTGCTGCTTTTTTTCTCCCACCTGAATGGCAAGAGATTTTACTAAAAGTCATATTGATCCGGCACAACAAGACGCGGATATTAATCTGTTCTCTCCTCCTCTCTTCCCCACCCCCAATTATCTGATTAGGCTGTAAATCATCTTATATCAATATGTTTTCACTTGAATTTTATAGAACTGTTTGCTATATACACCTCTCATATAAGCTGGGCCAATAGAAAAATGTGGCTACAATTTTTCTGCAGAATTTGCTATAAACAGTGCCCTCTGCTACAAGATGAAGTTTTTGGTACCTGGGCCTCTCACGCCATTTATCCGAAGCAACTGTGGGCGGGGCGGCTCCGGACCACATCCACGGTGCAGCGCAAGTGGGAAACGGGCTCTGTGTGAATGCGTGTGTGTGTTTCTCTCTCTCCTTTGTGTGTGTGTGTTTTTCTCTGGGTCTCTGCGTCTGTGTGTCGTGCTGGGCCCTGAGAGGCAACAGGTGGTGAGCTCTTCCAGCCCTGCAGTCAGGACAATGGTCTTGAGTGTCTGTGTTCCCCACCCCACCATTCCCCAAAATGGGCCATCCAGGTTTTGTTAAAGAAGACATTAATTTTTTTTGGAGCAATCTAATGTGTTTTTCTTCATGTTTAGTTTTTAATCAATAAAGTTAAAAAAATGTAGGTTGGCTGTAAAATGTACCTCAACAGCACCAATCAACTCCACGCAATTAGGGGCAAACAACTCCGCCCTTTTCTATTGGCCCAACCTATAAGCCTTTCCTCCAGTCAGAACTCCGCTGCCCATATACTTATCCGATCTAAACTCTGTACCCCAGCACATACTTGGATGGCTCAACACAACTGTAGCAGCACGTCTCACAGAGTACTGCCCCAAGGCAGTGTACAGGTAAAGGCAAGAAGGAACACAAATGGCAAACCCAGCTGCAAGTGATGCAAGCGCAGCAGGAGCATAAGAGTCAGGTGAGGTAGAAGCTTGCTATGATGACGTGACACTTCAGTTGAAGAATGAGCAAGGCAGAGTACAGCAAGTAATCATTTCATATTTTGTTTAACTTCTACAGTAAGGAAAAACAATGTAGAAGTTAGAATTGGATTTCTGAAGACTTCCATCTTCAAGCCGGTTTGAAATACAGTAAAGCCAAAGTACTTGTTGGTCTGACCTGTTAAAACACGACCATGCTTAAAAGAAGAATTTAAACTGTTTGACGTAACTGACTTCAGGCGACCTCATAAGATACACTGTGCACACTGAACTAAAGTGATCAACTAATTGTGGTCTGACTTTCTCTCGTCAGTTAACCTGCTATCCAATTTGCAAAGCACTATTTAGCAACAGGATTCCTTAAAAGTTGTATTTCTATAGTACTGTCTATATTGATTAAGAATGAAGATTTCTCATATGAGAAGCTAGTATGTGGACAAAAGTATGGAACAATTTCCAATGGAACTCGCTCATAGTGTATGCTGATATTCTAGTGCAATGTTGGGAGTGGGGATGCCATCAATCAGATGAAACGTTAAAGATCTCATAGCATTATTTGAAAAGAGAATTGAGTATCTCGGTGTTCTGGCCAACAACCCTCCAGACAGATCAAGTTGGTCAGTCACTTCATGGCTGTTTCTGAAACATTGCTGTGTGTAAATTGGCTACAGTGTTTGCATACAAAATACACACCGGTACTACTCTGTACAGCAAGTCCTGTGAAGTGCTTGGAGAGGTTTTGAATTGTGCTAAACCAAATACAAGGATTAATTTTTATCTTTGCTGAAAATTGCAAATTCCTTGAAGGACCTCAATGCTTCTTTTCCGGCTTTAATCAAGTTGTCTAGAATGCAGCCCTATCAGAATATTCCTGGCAGTGTTTATCAACCCAAATCAGTTTGATCAGCTCAGGTGATTCACGAAAAAGACAAAACCTGAAATGACTGTCTCCTTTTACAATCACCACGAGACAAGTCTCCAAGCAACAGATGATCACGATTAATTTGTAAAACCTATTCCAAATTTAACACACAAGTCTGAAAGTAGCAAAATATAAAAAGAGAACGCATGCCGAGGTTGTGGACACCTGGTCTCTGCCAAGGTTTGCAAAGTTCAACAGTCTGACGCTGGACATCATCATCAACTAGGACCTCTGACCTGAGTCTAACTTTACTTAGTTGGTTGATAGTGTAGTGTAAAATATGCAGGCATCAGCCAAAAGAATACAACTTCAGAAACCAATACTTCATTGAAAACTCAATGTAAAAGTATAGGTCTATTATGAGAACTGTATTATAAAACTACTGTTTTCCTGATCAATAGAATCAGCAGAACATTATTTTCTGTGCAAAAGTTAGCAAAATTGAAAATCGAGAACAAGAAACAGTTCTTTTCAGTACTCACCTTCCAAAGTCACAGAGTTTCAGGACAGCTGTTTCAGGATCAAGCAGCAGGTTCTGTGGTTTTATATCCCGATGGCAAATTCCAAAGGAATGGATGTAAGCTAAACTCCGGAATAGCTGATACATATACAACTGCAAAAAGATAATGTTTGGAAAAGGATTAAAACTATAATCATCTTTCGTTTTAGCAATGTTGGATGTGTCAGCCTGGCGCAGTGGTAGCACTCTCGCACCTGAGTCAGAAAGCTGTGTGTGTGTTGGGACTTGGAATCATATAATCCTTAAGCTTTTTTTGTGGGNAAAAAAGGGTCTACTGGCTCCAACCAGTAACCAGGCTAATTCATCTTTAGCAAGCAGAGTAAGAACTGGCAAAGGATACCTCCAATCAGTTAATTTTTCCACAAATGGAACTGCATAAACCTACCTTTGGTACCAACTAATCCAGTCAGCATCAGTTGGTGCTGATATAGGGATATTCGTGTACATTATGGATCAGTTATAGAACGACTTGGGCAACATCTTACTCATGAAATTGATTGAGAAGGTATTAAAATGTCAGCTATTGAGGTGAAGAGGAAACAAATGGTCATGTTGGCTAAAATGTGACTTTCTACATTTAGATTTTGAGTTTGAATCCAGCCTTGATTGATGGGATAGTCTCCTCTGCCTGTTGTATGAATTCTATATGAACCATTTGGCAAGTCTCAACTTGGTTTCTAGCCAAGAACACAAAATTGCTGAGCGAGTCTCACTTAGCGAGTCCACAATAATGTAGGAAACGTCAGTTTGATGTGGTGATAGTGATTTTAAAAATTGCTGGAGCATCATCACCTTTACCTAAGAATGCTCGATACACAGAAGTGGCGCAAAAATGTTCATTCTTAAGCCTGGTCATCTCTCATCTTGATAACTTATTGGTCAATTGATGATCAATATTGAAATCAAGATTTGTAGACCCAGACACAAATTTGCAACAGGAAACACAGGAAGTCTTAAAAAAAATTAAAATTCAAAAAACGTCACTGGGTTGGTCCATTTGCAGTTGTGTGTGGCGTGATCAGACACTGCAACTGTTCTGCTCATTTCCCAAGAATTCAGGAATGAGGAAAAGCATTTTGAAATCTGTTATAATGCACCTCCCCCACCTATCAGTTCCTTTGGGTCGAGCAACATAATGGACAAATAGACTGGGTATCTGCTCACTAACTCCCACCAACACTGTTCTTTGAAGCAATTCAAAGATTTGGAGAAACAGAAAGAATTAGATCAACTGAGAATGAAAAAGGTAATGCAATTGGTTTTGTAGAACAATGTAGCAATAATAAGGCCACCGGTAGTATTTAAGGATATCGTTGCTTCACTCAGCAACACAGTACATGAGTTGAAAACAGCCCAAGCCAGATGGGTTGTGGAAATAGTCATTTTCATTGGCCTGCCGCCATTCTAAGTGTTACAAAGCTTTGTAAATCACCACTGTACGATGAATGTGATTTTTTTCTTTAGAAATCTATTTGATCATTTTCCACATTTCACTTATATCTCTCCAGAAGTCACTCCATTTCCCAGGCTAAAGGACAAGTGAGTCTCTAACAGTACTTAAATGTTGGTCTGGGAACAGAAGAACACTACCCAGGGTCATCGTCCTCTTGTCTTAGAGTTGGGAGCCAAAAGTAAGTTGGCAATGGCTTGTCCATAGTTCACTCGCAAACTGAGAGAGCCAGGAATGTCTGTCAATTACAGCTCCAACCAACATTCCAATTCACAGTGTTCAATAAGTACATCAGTTCTCAGTTAAACTGCAATGATTGCTGTGCAACTAAACTAATGGGCTCTTTTCCAAACAGGAATAATAAAAAAAAATCAGCAGAACTAGTCCAATCATACAGAAATATATTAGTAGAACTACTGAGTAGTTTCATTAGTATGAAAGCTATATTGGCAAATTGGGGAGGAAATGGATAAAGAGTAAAACTGGGAAGCAACAGCAAAATGACTAGGGTGAATGCACTACATTCCTTACTTTTACATAAATCATCGGAAGTGTCTGCTTGGCCCGGCTGTAATGTCTGGCAACTCTGTACACTGTTTCCGGAACGTAGTCTAACACCAAGTTGAGGTACACTTCATCTTTCTGGAAAAACATAAGTAGAATATATTGTAAATTGATTGCAACTTAACAATATGTAAATAACAATCCCTTCAACCAAATAGCGCACTTAATTTTCTAAAGCAGCCTTTGGAATTCTACACGGGGACCAAAAAGTCTCGATACCTCTTAAAGAAACGGTGAAGAAATAAAGGTATTATTAAAATAAATGGTATCACAACTTTTTGGCCACCCTGTATATTTTGAAAGACAGGATTCCCAATAATAATAATAATCCTTGCATTTGATAGAGCGCTGTTCAAGTCTTTTAGATGTCTCAAACTGCTTCACAGAATATACTGTAAAGTGAATTGATTGTATTTTTGTGGGCGAAGCACGGCAGCTAATTGCACACAGCAGTGTCCCACAAACAGTCATCGATTGCGTGACCAAATTATTATAATTTTTTTTCTTGATGGATTATTATCCCCGGAAAAGCGATCCACCAATCGACTAACATCTGGGTTCCTACTTACTGCTAAGTAAACAGAGGCGTTTGGAGTAAGGAAACTTGCCCAACATTTCGCCCTGCGGGAATAGAACCCAGGTCTCTCGCTTGCGAGGCAAGTGCTCTAACCACTGAGCTACAGGACCCCAGTATTACTACAATTCCTTGTTTATTGCTCACAAACAGAAAGCAGCAGTTCTGAAACACTGATAACAGAAAAGCAGTCAATTCACTCTACAGTATATTCTGTAAAGCGCTTTGAGAAGTTTAGAAGACGTGAAAAGTGCTATATCAAATGCAAGGATTATTATTATAAGCACTTTAACACTGGTTAAATTTGTCCAGAAAACAAGCAAGCACTCGGGCAAATAGGCAAATTTAATGCGCAACTCATACAGTAAAGGTTACATAAATTTTATCTTTGTAAATCGTATGATCACCCAAGTCATACACGCACCCAAGTCCCATTCAGTTTCCGATCAATACCACCTAGATTTCTTTGCTTTCGACGTGTTTTATAAACAAATTATCTCCTAAATCATAACACCACTTCCCCATCCTTCATTACTCCCGCATTTACAGGCTGAATTGAATCGGACAATCTTTATTTATCTCCATTTCACAATAGTGGAAGTTACTCATGATTCCCCTTCCAAAAGAATACATTTTTTACAAAGTGAAAAAGCTCCTGATCAGCTATAAAAAAAGTACAAAATAAATATAAGAAATATAATAACAGATAATGTCTCTATACATAGGCTTTCTTAAAGAGAGTATGCTCGGTGAAATCTCACCCCACCACCACTTGTAAAGACTGAAGAGCCATCCTCATCCGAATCTCTGTTGCAATCTTGTGATTTAGCTTTCCAAAGTGATGAGCATGATTTTAGTTCATTAAAGGTTACATTTTTCTAGCAGACAATTTTGGTCCTCATCACCAGCTCTTGAAAAAGTTTCACCCAGCTCACCATATTGGTTATTCTCTCTTGTTCAGTTCAGAAGATAGTATTGCTTAAGATAAAGTTCACAACACAATTTTGTTTCAATCAATAGAATATCTCAAAGTAGAACCAATTTTGTTTTAAAAAAATGAGTTACAATTTTCTACCCCTTTTCCTGCAAACTGGACGTCCTGTTATAGGATAGCTCCAAGAATGTTGGCATCTGTCTGGCACCTCATTTAACTTGTAGTGAACTGGACAGCAAATGTTAGCAGCCTAAGCATGAAAGACATTACAGCTGTGCCTGATCCTATCCTCACTCACTTTCCTGCGCCAGTCATTGGATTGTGATGAGTGGCAGCTTGAGTTGATTTTTCTACTTCCTTTTCTGCACCTGATGAGAATGCAGGCTCAGCTACATAAAATCTGCAGAATAACAATCCTTGCATTTTATATAGCTCCTTATCACGTCTTCGAGACGTCTCAAAGCGCTTTACAGAATATACTGTAAAGTGAATTGACTGTATATTTTGTGGGCTCAATGCAGCAGCCAATTGCGTACAGCAGTGTCCCACAAGCATGAATTGAGTGACCAAATTACTTTTAATTTTTTTGAAGTGATTGTTACTCTGGAAAAGCGATCCGCCACTCGACTAATAACCGGGTTCGTACTTACAGTAAACAGAGGCATGGGGAGTAAGAAAACTGCCCAATGATCCACCAACCTCAAGCTAATGAGACATGTACAATGGTCATGTAAGCACTCAAATGTGCAACAGCTAGTTACCAATTCTGTTATACCAGGCAATGCTAGTTTCTTACTATTGTAAACTGCTGACATATTCCAAGTCAAAAACACCTCTAAAGATATGAAATCAAAGATTCTTTCAGGATGAGAGAGAGATGTACACAATATTGCTAAGTTGCAAAACTAACNAAAAAAAGGCTTACAAAAACACAAGTAAAAATAGACTACTGAAAGGAAAAGATTGAGACATAAAAGGAGAAAACAAATGGGTTCAAAACCTACTCCCTTGTGTGTGTATATGGAATCTGTTGCCAATAAAGCGGAAAACAAAGCAGAGGTAAACGCCCAAACAAGACTAATTATACATGTACAACATGCACAGAGCAGGGTAGAAAACAGCACTAAATTATCGTTGCAAACTAATTTTAGGAGTTTCCTATTGTGTTTATGAGTTACTTGAGCAGTTTATTCATCTGCATATTAAAACTGAATGAATCACATGTGCAACTCGCTTTGCGATTTGATAGGTATTTACAAAGGAACATAAGCTTTATAATACAATTCACCAATCCTTGCTTTGTCATATCAGAATTCCCAACTGTATTTTCTGTTAAAAAAAAATCATGAAAAATTACCAATTTTTTGGTGTTGCAAATTCTATAACAAGGATATAGCTGAAGCCTTTATAAAACTGCTTTGGATAAGTCACACTGTAACAGCTGTATTGCTCGCTGGTGCCCCCGTTCGATGGTGATGGGAGAGGGAAGAAAAAGGAAGGAAGAAAAAGGTAACCTAACATTCCATTAACCTAACATTTTACTCTAAACCGAAACAACTGAATAAGTGGTTCAAATAATTGATAATAAAGTGCAGACTTAATTGCTATAAAATCGTTTTTTCATTTGTCCAGTCTCGGACAGTATTAGAATTCTAGAATTAATAGAAGAATTGGACGAGCAAGACAGCTTCAAGAATACTGCATTTCAGATCTTCCTCCATACTGAAACAGCATTAAATTCCTGCTGGTGGTGCTGTTGAGAATAGTAAATGTATGCATTTTTAATAAAAAGGCAGGTCGCTTGCCACGAAACTGGCTTGCCACCAGAGCACCAGCAAACCATTTGGTGTTCATAAATAAGGTGAGGAATTTAGAGGTAACTAGCTGGCTTTAGTACTGTACCAATGGACTAGTCATGATTAATTCACTAACGCACAGTACATCTGGGAGAAAGATGAACGATGCTGTGCTCGGTAAGTGTTTTTGCTGGGAGGAAAAGGAGAACCATAAATAGAGAAATTGTTTTCAAAACAACATGCGAATATCAGCAACCTCCCTTAAAGAGAATAAAGGACATTATTCAGCCTGGCTCGTTAATTGAGTTGGCAAGTCATGGAAACGATATGAAATCTCTATGCGTTATTTGATGCAACCGATTCATGTCACGGCATATTTGTTTAATTAAACTTAACTTTATTTTGAGCAATATTCAGGGTTTCACTGAACTCCAAATATACCTGAATTTCTTGAAATCATAATGGGCAAACCTACAGATTGTATTTCTCAAATAGGCCGGTCAGTATAGGTATATTCAGTCCTACCATCATCAGAAAACAAAAACCCTAAGCCCATTAAAAATGTAGTGAATTTAAACAATACTTAATTCAGGCGAGTAATTTGTAGAATAACCAGATGGAGTAAGATTTAAGCAAGAAAATTAGAGATTAAAGAAATCTAAAAGAGCAATGTCTATAAACCAGACTGACATTTATTTATCTTTACACTTTCTCAACTCGCCAGAAGTTTATCCTTTTAAACCTCATGGTGTCTGACAGCCATTACTTCAGAGATACATCTCACACAACTATGTTGTACAATTCGTGGAAGTTCATTTCCATTTCTACAATGAGTGACCCCACAACTGGAGAAACTTTAGCAGCACCAGAAAAACCATCAGCAGCAAAAAGCCTCAAGCCACACTGCTGAATAATGATGGGCAAGCACAAACTTTAAATATTTACAATGTGCATTCAAGAACCTTTTAAAAAATGATTGCGGTATTTGTTACAAATGCAAATTGATCTCATTAACTTTAAACAGTATATAAAGAATCATGTGCGCATTGTACAAGTGTTAGTTTGAAATAAAATCAATGTGTATGTTTTGATAGTACTCAATTTGAATAAAGGGCATGATTCACCCGCTGCCCCAAGATGTTACTCATGGCCCCAAATTTGTGAGTGATCAAAAAATAAAAGGAAGCCATAAGAATTGGTCAGGGCAAAATGGGTGTCCAACCGACAAGTACAATAATAGCCTAGAGAGAGGAAAATGTGAAGTTTTAATTCCAGTATATTACAGAAAGGATTATGGCAAACTACAGCAACTAAATTTTGCTGGTGTCTAAATTTGTTCGCATTACATCATTGCAGCACTGAAGAGGTTCTTAACAATGCAATACTCCAGCCAGATATGGAAATGCAGTAAAGGCTATTTCCTTGCATTGAAAGCCTTGGAGGTATGGACCTAAATCCTAATTGATGAGTTTGTTCAACACCCGCCAAATCTTCCTACTCTCACTCTTTGGACTTGCACCCAATGAATGACTACTTGACCCAAGTACTTAAGTGGAGTCCTGTAGCTCAGTGGTTAGAGCACTCGCTTTGCAAGTGAGAGACCCAAGTTCAATTCCAGGCCGGGCGAAACCTTGGGCAAGTTTCCTTACTCCACACAGAGCCTAATAATAATCCCTCCAAAAAAAAAAAAAAATTGGTCATTTTAAAATCCACGACTGTCTGTGGGACATTGCTGTGCGCAATTGGCTGCCGCATTTTCCCACAAATATACAGT